AGACTTATGGAATATTAGAAAGTAATTTTAATAGAATGTCTAAATATATGTCCTTGCAAAAGTGATGGCTTCTTTTTAACATGGCAGTCTGGACTTCCACATTTAAATTGCAGCAGGGTAGAGACTGGTAAAACTGAAACACAGAAACCATAGGGACTTCATCTTCTCATCTTTGGTGAGTTCATGCCGGATTCTGTGGCGCCAGTATCATATTAAACATCTATTGTTTTGATTCTTCTGTTTAAATAGATTGGATTAGAAGGGGAGGAAAACCATCATCTCCTCCCCCTTACCATTCTGTCCAAAGCTTACTTACTATGAAGACAAATCTTATTTATTTCCTTTTAGAAAAGGCTTCACTGACATGGAGTATTTGATTTTTTGGAAACTGGTTCTGACTCAATTTTCAGCTACATCAAGATATAAGATCTAATCATTGTACATTACGTTCAGATAGGCTGCATGTAGGCTCCTCTGTAAATCTGTATCAAGTCCATTGATTCTGATAGGCTTCACTGTCTTAACTGGCATGCTCTGGAATTACAGCAGTGTGACTGAAACCAGGACCTGTTTAAACTTGTGTTGTTTAGATCTAGGAAACATTTTGTTTAGTATTGTAACTGCAGGAGAGAAGTACTGTGTTCTGACAAGCAACAGAGAATATCTATTGAGGGTCTGTGTATACTCTTAAACCTAAAGGCAAAACATTATGACTGTTAAATCTATGGTTCTTTTAAATGCTATGGATATATCAAGAGGACCATTTGCGTGTTGATACAAGATGGAAACAAGGTCTTTTGTGTAACACCAACTATACTTGATCCCTGTTCAAAGTATAGAAAAGCTACTGACGGTGAATTCTAACACCTCATCCTATGCTGAGTAACCAAAATATCAAACTACCAATCCAAGACTGCTGAAAGGTAAGATCTCTCCCCTGAAATTAATAATGCAAGAGTCAAAGATGACTGTGGTCTTAAAAGCACACAAATTCAAGTCCCTGATGGAACTCAAGGAAATTCTGTCAGAATTTTGACAGTTTGATTTTTTTTTTTATTTTTTTTTAAAGATGAAAAAGCTCTTTCAAATGTGCATGACTTTACCGAGATCCGGGCTGAAGTTGATGCAAAACCTGAGAGGAAAAGAATGGGAGAGATATGGTAGTTTGTGCTCTTTGAATTAGAAAACAAATTACTGTCTTGTCTTTAACGGGGGACGTTAGAAAACAGACATTTGTGGTGAATCCCAACCATTGTATTATGAACAATGCTTCCCACTAATGCACACCCATGCCACACCTTTCAGACTTTGGTTCGAAGTCCATGTTTTGAGCAGATGGCTCTGTGTATCCACTCTTTGATCAGCAGTGTGCCTGCTGATCACACAAATGAGGAATTTATGTCACCCAGTAGCCTTCAATGCTGCAAGTACTTTAAAAAAGGAGAGTGTGGTGTTGTTATCCTCCCAATCCCCAAACAAGTCCTGTATGACAAAGAATTCTCAGCCTGGCTGGCAGAGTCTGTGGTAACACTTTGGTTACTGCAGTAAACTCAAAATTGCTGAGCTTTCTGCCAAATGGTAAGTGCGTGCAGGGATGTGTGAACAGATATGGTAGTGACACCACTTAGAGCGGAGAAGAATTTAGAAAGTCCTCCTCTCTGGTGTTGAACAGCTTCAGAAAGCAATAATGTAATTCTAATACTCGATTTTGGAACTCCTCAAATGATACAAGTGATTGAGACTGCCCTGTTGAAAGTAACTAGTACTTGTTAGTGGCAAGGAAAATGATACTTTTTTCATCTATTCATATTTTACATATCAATTCATACTGACTGCTTATAATCCTTAGGTTTATCTTGAATTTGGCACCCAGCTCTGCATCAGATATTGCTGTATATTCATCTTCATTCTTTGGTGAATTTGTTTGAATTTCCAATATTTCTTCTGTATTTTGCCTCTGCTCTTTTTTTTACCTATCTTGTATGCAGAAATCCATGAGATAGCTCTGTGCGTGCATGTGGGAATGTTTTTCAAGAATTGGGATAGAGGGAGAGTTGAAGGAGAGGAATTAATTCAGTGAGCATTTCCTGAAGGCTCTTGCAAGTGATTTCATCTGTCTTTCACATGCAGTTTAGAGCAGCTGTGGTCTGACTGAACATCAGAACTTTTCTATTCTAAATTTATAGACCATATACAATAGGAAGTGTGATGAGAGGGACTCTTTTGGATAAGTAATCTAGATTATTGGGATGTTTTGCTATAATTGGCATATCATGTTTCTCCATACATTTTTTGTGAGTTCTGGTTTGCATTCAGAGATGGTTTCAAACATTTGAAGAAATTTCTTTGCTTAAATTATACATTATAGGCTGAAACTCTCAGTAGCAATCACAGAGCATTTATTGCAATGTTTATTTAGTTTTACAGTATCTTAAACTCATACTGAGACCCCCTGTTGGTCACAGGCTACTAGTTTTCCAATGGAATAAATTGCACAGACATGCAAATTGACATTTTGAAGTTTTGAATATGAATATTGTAACTGATACAGAAATTTACATTTTTGTGGTTTGAGTTACATTTTCAGCATTCCATACTGTACATGTCTTGATTTGGATGGCTTGATAGACTCATCCAGATGGAGCAGCTGTCTTTCCTAGACCAGACTCAGCCAGCTTCTCACTGGCAGCTGAAAAGCCACTCATTTCACGCAATTTACAGGACAATTTAAATTGTTTTTTGCAACAATTAATTTCAACCCAAGTTTTGCCTGTAGTTTGAGATCTCTGCCAATGTGCTTACATCAAACAAAATTGGTGATTCAAACTTGATTGGGCTTTTTTTGGTGTATGAATTGCAACTACTCCTACTTGTTGTTAGCCGACAGTAGTCTGTGCAACTCACTGTAGCCTTGTGCTTCTCTCACCTGAGCTTCTGTCACCTGAGCTCACAGGCGAGATGCAACTGCAGGTGTTGGTGCTAAACCAGAGAAACAGCCATTCTGTTGGCTTAGATGTTGGGTGAGAAATCAAGGGTAGGTTGTAGTTCTGCCTGTCAGAGCATGATCTTCAGCCTTACTCTCTGAAAAACCATGTTCCTCAGCCATTTAGTTGTCATATAGAGGTGCAGAGGGCACAACCTGCCACCATTACACATTTAAGTAACAAGTTGATGATTAATGAGACTTAAATCAACTTGAGAGTGTAACAAAAGCATGTATTTTTCCTTTGGGGAATCTGTGCATGTGCCCATCTAGTGCTTTGTGCTGCAGAAATGTCAGAAAATGCAGGAGAAAGCCTCATAACTCAGGAGTCCTCATCAAACTTTCTCTACATGTTTTTCCTTCCAATCTCTCTGAAATGTTTTTGTTTAAATTGTAGAAGTTGCTTTAAGCACATGTGGCTAGATCTATTTCCTAAGGTATGTGTGATAAAATCTAGAGGAGTATGTTAAGTTTATACTGGAAATTTATCAGCTTATACAAAATTAATTTAAACTTCAGTGAGTTTTTTTTCCTGAATGAAAACCCTCACCACTGGGTTATGGGCTGTGTGTCAAAAGGAACAGGCAGAGCTGCACCAGCTGAAGATCTGTACTATGGGTGAGCTGACGTGCCCTTCCCTGGTGGGGATTCTCACGGTCATGGTGCTGATCTTGTGGGTGGTGCCACAGTGGATGGCATTATCCACACACACTGCTTTAGGTCACTGGAACATTTGGTTTCCTTTCCCCTCCCCTTGTTTTTAATTCAATCTCTTAGTTGAGAGAAGACTGAGATTAAAAAAATAAACCAAATGCCAACAAGAGAGAAAAAACAGTGCTCTGCCAGGGCTGTAGGAAAGGGGTGGCAACCGTCCAGAAGCAAAGATGAAAGTCTCAAATCAAGAAGAAAGCTGAAAGAACCAGCTGGGAAAAAGAAAACACATGAACAGAAAACGCAAGTGTGACATTAAACCAAGGACCAAGCGGTGAACCCTTGTCTTAATGCTTTTAATGTGCGTGTCAGTGCATGGTGGGGTTTGAAAACTGCAGAGGCAGCTTACGTGTGCTAGTAAAGTGAACAGTTTATGCCAGGAGCTCAGTGCAGAATGAAAAAAATAGCAATAGAACAATGTGTATTGCACAGCCTCTCAAAAACGAGCCTACCCCCTACTTCCCATCAATTAAAAAAAATAGGTCAGTTGCAGTAATTGACCATTGTCTTTATTCCCCTCACTTGTAGTATGTTCGAAGAAATTAAGAGTACGTAGAAGTTCTTTACTGTTTCATATTATCCTACCAGGGCATTATGAATATGCAGAAATGGTTTTTAGGGGAGGAAAAAAAATATTTTTGTGAGTAGAATCACCATCAGTGCCTTGATTCTGGATTGCCAAGTTTGTTTTTGACTCAATTCTTTTGCAGTTTTAAAATCAACTCAGGCTGGCCATTGTAATTTCACATCATTATTTTAAATGAAAGAAGTGCATGGAAGGGAAGAGTCTTATAAAACATTTTAATTAGGATTACAGATTATCCAAAGGACTGCCAGTCAAAAAGTATTAAGTCTGAAAAGTATTTTTGTAGGTTTTAGGGTGATTTATGGACAGAGTTAATACAGATGCATTCAAAAATCATGTTGTACTTACGCTGGTATCACTTCATGTTAATATGGTTTACGTTATTGTTTCTTTGTCTGCCACAGTACTTTTCCAAACAAGAGGAAGGTGTAAAAATGCTCCTGCTTCTGTGGTCCATCAAAACCTACCTTTCTAGGTACGTTCTGTGTATCTATTACAGGTGATAAGTGTAGTAAATCTAATGGATTTAATGTTTGAAAGTGAAACAACTAATGCCAGCTGGGGTTTCTAAAGTCTAAATTAATATTAATCTTTCTAAGCTAAGCCAACACTTCAAGTGACATGACCTTTTTAAAAAGTATTTTGTAAATCTTTTGGGGAAGGCAAGAAACCATATTAAGGTCACCTTATGACATTTATGAGTCTTTAGACATATGCATATAAGAGGAACCCATTTATTTTTATCAGCTACTTAATTGGCTGGAGGTGCTCCACAGCTCTCTGCAAAATACTACAGCAATTCCAGAAGTCATGCTCAGGTGTAATTTATCTGAAAGAAAAACTGAAAAGAGTGTAATAAACATAATACACAAAATAGCTCAAGACTTTACATGGAATTGTCACTGGGAGTCTTGAAGAGAAATGAAACAAACTCGTTTCCTAACTGTCTTTGCTGCCTTGCTTTCCACTAAAAACATCTGCAAACTTTACTTGGTTAAGACCTCCAAAAGTCAGGTGTACTGTATTAAGGATTACTGAGGGGAGGATATTACTCTTTTTTTGTTTTAATACTAAAAAATTATTAGAGATATTTTTAAACTTTTAGGAACAGTAGACCAATGATTGCTATGATAGGCTGGCATATCCACAAGTGTAGTGTGAAATTATACACATCTCTAATAGTGAGGACAAGGGAGTGCTGCATGTTCCTGCTCAAAAGATGCTTCGTATTTTTGGTAAGTTTACAAAACAAAATAGCTATTCAGACCTTATTTGCAAGTTCCAGTCTGTGGGGTAAATAGAAGGCAATGTTTTAAACGAATCAAGTTTAAAGAAGAAAAAAATTAGCTGCTATATTAATGTATGAATGGTATATATTGCTTTAGAATGGACAAACACGTACTAAGAACATGCACATGGATAATAAGGACAAGACACTGATTCCTTGTAAGCAGCATTTGTTAATATTCTGTTAATTGCAGTACTTCACTTGCAGACCAAAGGGATCAGAGATCTTCTCCTGTACCCTTGCCATTTTCACTACAGTTTTGCTGTTCTGGTATTTCTTAAAACTCCTTACTCAGAACTTGTCTACCTTATAAACCTGAAGGTCAGAGCTGTCACTCTTCAAAGAAAATTATCTTGCAATTAAAACATTTGACTTAGTTGTTCTGTACAGGTCTTACATTTATTGAAAGGCAAGACATTAGTGAGGCTATTCCAGTTTGGTTTCCACACTGCTGAACTATGTGTTGGTTTAACATCACACACATGGCATCTAACAAGCTGCAGGAATAGCTTTTTCATTTTAATGCTGAACCAAAAGCAAAACCACCAGCAGAGAAACTGAGCATGTTTGGATAGTACTTATTCTCTATCAACCTAAAAGCTATTGCAGCTTCTTGTATCCACTCTTTCTAGGAACAAATCACTTAGTCTTCTGCCTTCTCTGTGTGATTCTCCACTTGTTTCAATACATCTGTTGCTTTCTAGAAGCAAGATATACTGCGTTAGTTGTACTGCAACACAACATGTACTGTGGCACAAGGCAGGCACATTTACAGAGACATCTACAGCCCTAATTTATGAGCTCCAACAAATTGGAATATTTCATCTGCCAGTAAATCTGTCAAGTTCCTTTATATCAAGCCCCTTGCACTGCAAACATACCAAATCTTCATCCTAGAAAAAAAGCCTGCGTTTATCAATTAAGGACTTATTTGTAAGAACTGCCAACAGCTGAAATCTGATTTTCTTCTGAAATGATGCACTAAACCAATGAACTGTTGATAAGATCTTTTTTTTTTTTTTCAGGGGAAAACAGGTAAACTCAAAAAATAATTTAGTCAGTGAGTAGTTTTTCTGTATCGGCAACAATTTACTTCTTATTAAAAGGGCTATACAAATAGTCATTTAAAAGATGTTAATTCAAAGCCATCAGAAAGAGAGGAAGTTCCCTTTGCTTTGCTTCACATGAATCCTATTTGTTTTTTGCTATTTTTCTGTGACAAATATGGATATAGGTTACCAATATAAAACCAGGAACAGCTCTCTGAGCAACAAACTCGTCATTTCTTCAGATGTTGATTGTGTAGGGATGTTAACAGAGAGCAACTGCTGCAAAATTCCTTTTTTTTAAAAAAAAGTCTTCTGGCTGTTGACCTTCATGCCCCAACATCAGTGGCTGTAGCTGGGTATCTGTAGCAATACAGTTTGTTGTCTGCACCTCCACTCAGTAACAACTGATGAGAGAAGAAAACTGTGATTAATATCAGAACTAAGTAAAACAAGTACACAAGTCAAGGACTCAATTTTTCTTTCCTTTGAAGACATAAAAAGAAGTAATGAATAATGAACTGTTAATGCATGACTAAAACCCAGAATCAATGTGCAGAACCAACTTTGTTTCTTACCCTCCTCTTAAAATTACAAGTAAAGTTTTCGTAGGAACTTTGCTAAAGTTTTTCCTGACTTTTACTGACAATGAGAATCTTGGGATGTCAACAAAATGGGGTTTTTTGGTCATTTTAAAAACATGTGTACCACTACAGTAGCAGGGAAGTTTCCTATAGAGGATTATGTAGTTTCCCCCTTCTACATGTACTGGCATGCACAAGCTTCCACTTCATGCTGCCACTTTAGTCTCAGTGGCAGAAAATGGTGCCCTGGAACGTGTATTTTCTCCGTGAGGTGCAGTGCTGTTCTCGTGGCTCTCCTTGTTTGGAATATCAGTATAACACTGAGTTAATGCTACAGAGCTCCAGCTCCCACCCTACTCCTTTGCACAGGAGTGTGGGGACGTGCTGCAGTGCGTGTGACACTAACACCTGGTTATCAACCACAGCACAACTCAAACTTCCTGTTCTCTCTTTAAGCATAACAGTCCATGACTGCTTTTAGCCCTCATCCTAACCACCACTCATAAATTCAGTAACTTGCTCTTCAGATTCTTACCCCTGCTTCTGTCCAGTCCACACACAAAACTTTGTCTTCATGAGCAGCCAAGTCATACAGAGGAGCTTTGCAACTAGTAAAAAACAGGTATTTACAGTCACATGTTTGAAATTACGTGAGCAATCACAGAAAATAGAATTGGTCCCTGGAAGAAATAATATCACAAAGCTATCAAACAGATGTGATCAAGTATCTGTACTTTCTTAAAGTATTTATATCTACCATCTGTGATGTTTCCACTGCTTTCCCCAGAGCTGATCATATCAGTATTATCCTCTCCTACATCCCTGAAGAGCAAAGCAGCAACATCCTTCATCTAGTTGCAAACTACCTTGATACTGAAATTTAACCAGTGTTTAGGAACAGTTTATTATTTAGTTTCTTTCTTCCATGTGTGGATGCTGCTCAACTGTGTGCATTTTCCAGGAAAGCTATTTCTGTCTTGTGAATGCAAAGCATTTCACTGCTTGGAAACCTGTAATGAAGGATCTGAAAAGCGTATCAAGTGAAACTTCACACTGTTAGGATCTTTCCTTAGAAAGAGAATTATTTTGTTCCTTAAAATAGAGTAGTGGTCAGCAGACCACTTGCTGTTCCTAATCTCAGTGGCAATGTTACGGTTGCTGCTTTTTGCATGTCACCAAATGCTGCTGTTACTGCCAGGTAAGTCCCATTGGAGCACCATGCAGCCCCCTCAGATATTAAGCCACAGGCCCCCTAGTAGTCTAAAAGTATTTTTCTCTCTTTTATTATATGCCTGACTCCCAAAACCTAGAGGATTCTCACAGATGCCAGAGGAGATTCTAATCAATGTCTCTGACTGCTTTTGTTATTGAACAACAACAAAATGCAGGTTTATGTTACCTCCTTGTGTCCCAAAGCTTCACAATGTTGTCCAGAGATCCAGAGATCAGCTGATGCTCATGGGTAGGTGACCACTTCACACATGTCACCCAGCCTGTGTGAGAAGTCAGAGACAGCAGAACCAAGGAGCCATCTGAACAGAAAAGGAGGAAAAAAAACCAGACATCAGCAGATGCCAACTGCATATAAAATCCAGTGAGAAAAGCAGTCAGCAACTGCCTTGTGTTCAAGTTAAGTGTTTCTCCCACCAGTAATTGTAACTTCAAAAAATCAAAGCGAACTTTAAAGAAAGAGAACAAAAATTTAAGTCACACAAAATTCTGGGGAAGAAAAAAGCCTCCAACAACAACCAACCAAAAAAACCCCAAACAAAACTTGAGATGTATTTTCTCATAACTAAACTCTCTTTGCAATGTTTTTTCTACAAGGCAAACAAAAAAATTGCTTTTATTAACAACATATAAGATGCTATAGATTTACAGAAGCTAAAGAAGTAAACATTGTTTACTAACTGTGGCCTCCCAGTACCTGAAGGGAGCCTACAAGAAAGATAAAGACTGTTTACAAGAGCATGTAGTGACAAGACAAAGGGGAACAGCTTTGAACTCACAGTAGTTTTAAAATAGATATTAGGAAGAAATTCTTTACTGTGAGGGTGGTGAGGCACTGGAACAGGTTGCCCAGGGAAGCTGTGGATGCCCCATCCCTTGAAGCGGTCAAGGCCAGGTTGGATGGAGCTCTGAGCAACCTGGTCTAGTGGAAGGTGTCCCTGTCCATGGCAGGGGTTTTGGAACAAGACTATCTTTAAGGTCCCTTCCAAGTCAAACTGTTCTGATTCTATTCTATGAAACGTGCCCATGAAAATAAGTCTGGTAGGCTCAGTCATAATATCCACAATCCTATCTGTTTATGATATAGAGTACCATGTCTAAGTTACTACTATTTCACTTTAATGGTGGTTTGACCAACCTAAGTATTAACCTTACAAAAAAAAAAAAGGTTCAGTCCTGCAACTGCACAGTTGAACATTAGTAAGTTTAAGAAAAAAACCAAGCAAAACCTAAGCTCAGTTAGATTTCTAAATTACTATGTAATGAAACAAAAGAAGTCTTACACCAGATTACAGAAAATAGATGTAATCTTTGTATTTAATAAAAGCCCCTAAGTGGCTGGTTTCAAGCAGAGGGACCAGAAAACAGTTTGAGATGTCTCCCAACAGGAAAAAGTTCTGATTTTGAAAAACAACTCTGAGACCATGCATGTTTTTAGCTCACCTTTGCTGCGAGGATCCCATAGCCTAATATGTCTGTCAGTGCTGCCTGATGCCAGACGTCGACACAGTGGTGAGAAGGAGAGAGAATTAAACACTTTGTTTCCTGTCTGTCAGAAAAGCAAACAGTAATTCTAAGAGAGGAGCTACTATTTTGTGCAACTTCTTCTTCTCTGAGCTGGACTTCAGCTGAACCTACAGACAGAGGATAATGATCTCACCAAAGTAGATTTGAGATCTCCAGTCTCAGCATCCCAGATTTTAATGGTGTGGTCCCATGATGCACTGCAAATTTCTTCAGCATCTGACCACAGCACAGAGGAGACAGCTTCTGTGTGGCCAGAGAGGGTTGCCAGGGGAGTCTAGAATTTAATGGTGACACATTGGATTGAATATCATCAAAAAATCAATTCTTTCAATAAATAAAAATGTGTCTGATTGAACACATCAGAAGTTTTCATACAGCCATTTTTAACAATGGGAAATTTTGTGTGGCCACACTTCTAAAGAAAAATCCTGGACAAACCTGGAGCTCATCTTACCCTCGTTAGTCCCAACTGTTCAGTTTTCTGCTTCTTCCGTGGTCTGTTTGCTGCTTCTTCCATTTCATCCTCTTCATCTGTAGGTACTGTGACAGAAGACAGGCAGACATGAGCCAGAAGTTTTTGAATTCCATCTCCATGCAAGTAATTAAACAAAACCCCGTATTTACAGTGCCTACAAATATCATGCAGGTGGATAACCATACTTGAAATTGTGTAATTAACCAAACCAGTAACTTAATATAGCCTTACAAGCTTACATCTTACCTGCAGACCAGATCTTTAACATCTTATCCCAGGATCCACTGCAGAACTGTATGAACAAAAATATTTGGTTAAAAGTTGATCCAGACAGACCTTGCAAGACAGACCTACTTGAAAAATTACCCAATGGTTGTAACACATGAAGAATTGTGCTAGGATCCTAAAACAAACAAATGTTTGGCATAGATAAAATTATTCTTTTTCCTTCCTTTGTAGGGAAAATATCTACTAAATATCTATTTCCTTCAGCGCCAAAAGGTTTTACTTTAACTTGCCTAATATTGAGTCAAGCTGGGAGCAATAACTCCACCTTTGATGCGAGTGCTTGTAATTGCTGAATTCCTGCATGAAGGGAAAGAACCTCTTTATCACTTACTTTTTCTGAGTACCACTCTGGAAGTTTTTTTCCCCACCAAAACCCCTGTGAAAATTTAGGTCAAATTTGAAAATAGCTCACCATAACACAAAATTCACATGCATTTAAAGTAAAATATACTTTAAAACAAACATTTAGCTTGTTTTCCAACCTAAATGATTCTATGATTCTATGGCTTAGCATTGATATAGCACTCCTAATTCTCAATAACCACCTTTATAACAAGGCTGGAAACTTATCATTGTGTCAGTCCGAAAAACATTATGACAAGTACCTATGCAGGGACAAAAAGAAGATTTTTGGGATATGGGCTGCTAACATCCCCAAATACAAAGGTTTCTTTCCCGGAGTCACTCACTTTGGTTTTCGTACAGTCCACAGCTATGGAGTCTACACTCCCAGCATGTCCCCTGCAGCAGTGAAGGGCTTTCACTTTGTTTTTCTCCACGTTCCACTCCCACAGCAGGACAGTTTGGTCCATAGAAGCACTGAGTAACAGGCACGATAAACTGTCTGAGGAAGAAAAAAGTTATGCTCACACCCAACTCAGCCTTCCAAAGTCTTTATAGTCTATAATTATTCTAGTCAGAGAAGAAATAGCAGATGGATAGAAACTCGTAGGTATTTCGGTTTACATCATGTTACCCTGCAAGTACAATTAATATATTTACCGCTATTTACTAATGAAGACTACAAGGTGGATAGACATGGTACATGTTAAAGTAATTATATTCATTACTGTTAAAAAACTATTTTACCCACACCATGACTTCATTTCTAACACCACTGACAGAGACCGAAATAATTACAGCATTTAGATAATTAAATATTCATGGTTGAGGAATGCTGACATTTCTCCCCCAGTAACTCAAAATATTACGACTCCCCTAACATATATACTGACCTTGTTTCACCCAGGCCACATCCTTCACTACTTCTGTATGCCCAGCTATTGTCATGATGGATTTTCCTTCCAAAGACCAGACTCGAGCAGTCTGATCGTAGCAGCCAGTTAATATCCTACAGGGTACACAATTTGAAACATCATTGTCTTTAGGACCAACAGTGTTTTTATGAAAAAAAGCCTCAACCAGAAACTTGGAAAAATATTAGCACAGTAACTGGTTTAAAAAGAAATAGCTTGGAAAAGTAAAAAAAATCTTTTTGTTACAGAGCAAAGCTTCATTAAAGCCTACAAGCGAGGGGCTAGGAGTACAGGCCAAAAGGAAAAGCAGTGAGAGTACTGCATATTCTGGTAAGTGAAAATCACTTATATAATTTACATAATTTAAAATTTAATTTGTTGTTTCTAGTATATTACTAGAGGTTCTCAAAGCATTTTCAAACCATTGCTTAATATATGAACATCATCTGGTTGACTGGGAAATGAATGTGAAAACACAGTAGAAAAAGACAATTATGGCTGTTTGGCTTTTTTTAAAGATAAACTCTGCATAAAGTTACACTATTCTATTTGTTGCTAATGAGCCTCACATTGGAAGTCAAGGGTTTAAGCAAAAGAGATGAGGAAATATCACTGTCCTTTAAGAGAAAGGACAGTAAACAGCATTTGTTTTGTTTGTTTATATTAGCAATACCTCATGTTCAGTGACTCTGGCTTTTTTCTACCTGTGTTATAGTTATTGTCAGTGAACTGCTTACAAAAGCAAGTAGCTGATTGACTTGCCAGGTTAAAAAAAATAAAACAGAAACAGAGCAAAGAGGGGAAAAAACTCCACCCATTTAACACTATGGAGGAACAGGAATAAGCAAGACAAAACTTAGAATTGGCTTAGTGTGGTACCATTCTTCAGTGCCTTGAACAGAACTGATCCAGTCATCGTGGAAGATGCATTCTTCTGGCTGAGGGGCCATATATTTCTCCACATACTCTATTTCCACCACTTCTTCCTGAGCTCACAGAAAAAAAATACTTATTTAGTGAGGTTTTGGGTTTTTTAATCAATAACAATAAAATTTAACTGTAGCATGGTGCAAATACACAAAAGCAAAGATCTCGGTATCTAAGTCCTTTGCCACAATAGTGGAACTAAAGTCTTTAGAAAAAAAGTGTGAATTATATTGCTTTCCATATTTTTATCAAGTTACTATTAATAGCAAACTGGAAGCAAAAGCAAGTAATTTTGCTCTTCTTGAATTCTCTTCTGTATTTACCATACAAAACTGGTGTCTACAGCACTTCACAACGTTTTTCTAGAGGTAATATTAACCTTCCCCATTATCCCCCAAAGTAAGAGACAAAAACATATTAATGATGAACTGAATAAAACAAGAATTTTCCCTCTGGACTGTATACAGACAAAAGAATGGGTAACGATGTTCCTTGCACTGCTCAGTCCCATAGTCTCTAATCACTTTGCAGTTCAGAATGGATTTAAAAATACATGGAATTCTCCTGGGAAAGTCATAAAAGCAGTAAAACCGAGCAAGGAAATCTACCTAGTCAGGATGATAGTGTAATACCTAAAGCAGATTGAAGTAAACTGCTACGTCTGTTCTGCTGCCCAAGAAGGGGATAAATTGAGTATGACTTACCGTGGAGATATTTTCCATTTCCATGTGTGTGACCAGTGGCACTCGCAAGAACTGGCCATTGATAAGGAAATCAAATTCCACATATTTGTGATCCTCTAAAACAAATTAGGAAAAATCCATGTTCAGGTGTCACTATTTATTTGATACCATCAAGAACAGCATCATTTTGTGGCTAGTACAGGAGAAGGAGACAGGAAGAGGTTAAAAAAAGACCAAAACAAAACTAAACAAAAACCCCCAAACCAACCAACAATGACAGAAAAAAAAACCCAACTAATCAGTTAGTTTCTTCTCCCAGTTTTAAGTGGGCAGCCCATGAATCCCAGTGGATTATTTCAGAGGACGGAAAATTTGCTGTTGGGGTTCAAAGAGTTAAGTTCACCTCTTATTGTCATTCTTCTGTAGCTATGTGTAATCAAACCCCAGTGGTGCTTCCATACTGTTCTGTATGGGTCTTGCCACTGCTAGTCCACATCTTTGTTACCATCAGCTAGAGCCCTGTATTTGTGGCAGCAAAATGAAAATCCTAGGAACTTCTGGTTCACACTTCTCCCTCTGTAATGGCATAGTTGACACAGGCCCCACATTTTGGCAGAAGCACTGCACTGTGCACTAGCTTTCTATTCAAGGTTGTTTGCGACTTCATGGGTTAAAAGCAACTTGCAGAAGACTCAAGAAGATACCATTGGTCCAGTTTCTTATAGAACACGGGATTTTTCAACAGCATTGCACAGGTGTCTTTCCCCAGAAAATCTTTCGAGTCAGTCAGGCCCATTTCAGCTGGCACTGACAGAGTGGCTGAGCTTTTCTCAAAGGCTTTCATAAAACCCAAACCTTTGGTTTCATCAGTTCTTGTGCCAGGTTTTGGGCAGCGCTTCCACCCCCATCAGCTGTGGCAGCCTGGCCTGTGGCGCTGGGCACACACTATCCCAGCCTCTGGAGCATCTCTCCCGGGCCTGCCGTCCAGCCCCGGTACCTGCGGGGTTTCAGACGGAGTTCCAGGAGTGCCTAACTGTGGGCAGCCAGGCCCAGACAGCCGGGCAGGGCGGGCTCAGGCCGACGCCGTCCCCGCCGAGGGTCCCCCGGTGCCCCGCCTGTGACAGCCCGAGGTTCTGCGGCGGCACCGGCGCTGCCCGGCCCGGCCCGGCCGGACACGGGGGACACCGGGGGGCTCCGAGGGGCCGCCCCCGCCGCGGTACCCACCGTGCGCTGCCGCCAGCAGCTTGTTGATGAGCTGGCTGAGGTCGGTGGTCTCGGAGGCCGCGGGCACCGAGAAGGGCACATCCTCCACGGCGAACCTGCGGGCACAGCGCGCCGTTACCGCCTCCGCGTTACTCGCGCCCCGAACCCACCCCCGGCCCGCGAGGGGCGGCCCCTCACCTGCGGTTTTCGGTGCGGAACCGCGCCGTGAGCTGCGCCATCGCCGCCGCTGTCGCCGCTGTCGCCGACACCGACCACGTGTCGTGACGAGCCCCCTCCCAGCCCCACGCGGCCGCGCGCCTGCCGCGCTCCCGAGACGCCGCGCGCGCCGCCGCCTTCCCGGCGCCCCCCGCGCGCCCCCGCCCCGCTCCGTGCCGAGGGCGGGCGCGCGTGCGCGGAGCGGCGGCGCGCATGGCGGAGCTGCGGCGGGAGCCGAGCCCAGGTGGGGGAACGTGCCCCCGGCACCTGCCCCCGGTACGGCGGCACCGGGCCGGGCTGTCCCGCTAACCCCGCCCGGGGCCGCGCGGCGGAGCGGTGTGACGGGCGCGGGCCGAGCGGGGAGGCGCCCTCTGCGCCCCTCAGGGCTGGGGCGCGGGGGGCGCGTCCCGGGGGTCGCTGGCAGGCGCTGGAAGGGCTCCCGTGGCCGCCCCTCAGCGGCGCTCTCGGCGCTGTGCCCCGGGCGGGCGGCGGGGGCAGCTCCTCGTGTGGCGCTGAGGGGCGGCGGAGTGGCGGTCTCTGCTTGGAGTAACTCGGGTTGTGTTTCTGTGCACGTCGAGCGACACACCCACTATAAAGTGCCTGCTGAAAGTAGCAAACCCAAGGCGCTGTGGGCTTTAAAAGAAGCTGTGAGTGAGTTTGTGTTTTGGGAGAAGGCTGCTTGTGTGAGGACCTGCGGTGTGCTCGGGTTACGCGTACCTTTTTCTCACCTTTTTGACAGTCGTTCGTGGCCTCTGTTGAACAGCTGGGCTTTACCCAGTGGTGACTCGGGTTGTGGGGACTCTACTTGTTGAAGTGGGCAGGTGTTGGTTCTTGTTTTGTGAGACTCTGAAATCTCCTCTATTTCTTAACTATACTTCAAAGATCTAACGTGGTCAGCATAAGTGATAAGGGTGCATCTTCCAGTTACCGGTGTTATCTACACAAAAATCTCTTGAGAAACCTCTTAAGTGGAAGCCCCCAGTTCTTCTTAACAGCATCTGCCTGCTCTTCCATGACAGAGATAAGCTAGATCTCAAACCTGGTACGAGTTAATATAAAGCTAATTGTAACTCCTGTACTTAAGAGTATCAACTATGCCCTAATTTCCTCTCTGATATGTAATTCCTGCCCCCTGTGAATTTGTGCCATGGTTGGAGAGTGGCGGATGCCCTTAGGGGGAACTTTTTCAGAGAACCTGTTTGATTTTATAAAACTTTAGGCATTTCTGGGCTGCTTATAAAAAGAAACTGGATAAATATCACTATATATTTACCCTAGTGCTGTATTTTTTCCCCTGAGCTTTGTTATTAACCATAATAGATAGAGGATATGTCCCAAGACAGCTGTCCTTGCGTTCTGTTGCTGGGTTCCAGCATGCTCAAAGTATGTGCCATCGGTATCTCTGGAACAAACTTAGTTTATCTCAAAGAACTAAATGTGCTGCTTTAGCAAAACTGCCATGTCTTCTTTACATCTTCAAACTGAGAGGAAATGGTTGAATGATGATGAAATCTAGTTTTCTGTTGTTTTTTTTTTTTTTCATTTGCTGCTAACATGCTTCAGGCATCGTAACTGAAACACCTCATAATTTTTCGCAGATCCAAAGCTCCAAAATATTTGGTAAGCATGAGGTAACTTCACTTGGAACTTGGTTTGGAGTGTCATCACTTGAAAATTGAATGGAAAAATAAATCTGCTTTAGATTAAAGTATTAATATATTGAGCATATGAGCAGCTTAACTTCTCAATGTTGTTTGTATCAGCAGGATGTTGTTTGTATTCAGCTTCAAAAGCCAAGGAGATGAAGATTTACTTTGCCTGTGTCCTTTATGCCTTTGCAAAGCAGCATAAATTTGTGCTTTCAGAGTTATACAGTTCCTTTCAAGTTACTCTCTTGCCTTTAACATTCTCCTTACTAAAGCTGTAAATGGTTGAAATACCACAGCCAAGAAGGTTGATCTTGAGGAATTTACTTGTGTGGTGTGGTGAAGAAGAAGCTGGTAGGAATCATGAGCTAATATAACACAGCCTGTCTTTAAAGTACTGAAGGGAAGAATCCTGAACACTTTTCCCTCTCCTTCATCCCAAACTGCAGGAATTAAGTTTTCTTCTATTCAGTTGGGCGTATTATGTGTGTAGTCTAATATATTAGTACACTTCTAATGTAGAAGCCAAGTTAATTGTCATTTTGTCTCATTGGTTGTGAATATTTGGGATTGGTCACTGCTTTAAAGGGTGTCCTGTGTGCCTGAGAGCATCATCCTGTGGATGTGGCGATTCACTGTCCAATATTCTCTGTTTGCTTGAAGGTTTGTAGTGGGCAACTGAGTTCCTTAAAGCTTTCTTTGGGATAGGAGGTACATCTCTGAAGTGCTGGTAGCTCTGTCTTTTTGTCTTTCATCACTGGATTAATGCCAAATTTTGCTTCAATTTAGGTGTTTTCCTGCCCAAAGCATACTGCTGTAGACTAATAATAGTACTTTTATTTCATTTATATGTTGTTTTATAACCCTTTAAAACAAATGCAGTTTACTTCAAGATGTTATGCATGATGGAGTTGTATCATGCAAATTTTGTCTTTTGATTATGGAAGTAGGTGAATAATGTATTTGTGTGCAGTGCTGGCATGTGTTTAAATATCAAGTGTTCTCTGGATGTGTACCGTTGTTAGTTCAGTGCTTATGGAAATATTTAGATGAAAATGATGGGAGGGTGTATACGTGTTTTGTGTCTGTGTTTGCAATGACAAGTCAAGCAAACTGTCTCATATAAAAGGCTAAACTATACTCCTGGAGCAACACACTGAAGTTTTTCTGCAGCGAGTAATAAAGGGGCAAGGATTTCTTGAGGACTTTGCTGTTAGATTGCAATGGCAAAGAAAACACCTGCAGCAATGTGTTGGCAGAAGGCTGAACTAAACTTCTGGGCTTTTTCAGGTCACCTTGTGATGAAAGAAAACGGAGCTGACCATGACATTGCTATGGAGGGACTTAACGATCTGTTCGTAGGCAACTGCGATGGTGCAGGAGAGTCTGAGACAAATGATCAGGTTTTCCAGGTGAGGTACGAATGCTTTGTCCTTGTAGATGCTTCTATTACATCCTCTCTGATGAACTTAAAGTGTTCTATTTCATCAGTGCACTGGGCTTTTTATGCCTTTATGGTAACACATTGTGTCTTTTAAAAAAGTACAAAAGTTCCTTCCCTTTGATTCTTGTGCCATTCAGTTTTGAAGTGATGAATATCCAGATGTTACATGTAATGGCAACCATCAGTAACTGTATTAATAGATCCTGTTAAAGTGCTGAAGAAAGATGTGTTTTATTGTGTTAACAAAATCCTTCAAAAAAAGAATACTTGATGACATGTCTTGGAGTAGGAGAGGTTCAGAACACTTGAAAATCCAGTCAAGTTGCTTAGTGACCAGATGTGTCAAATAAGAGTCCAGGGACACAGGACATCTGTGTAGGTACTGGAGAAGGGGAATCTTTTATTTAGCTATGTATTATCAAATATTGCCAGATATTCTTATTCAAGGAGATTTCTGTGCGTGAATGTTCTTCTGCAGAATATTTTTTTAACATAAAATATCCTTCGTGTAGTGATTTAGTAACGTGCTTATGGTCTCTGCAGAATGTCTTTAATACAAGTAGTGTCATGTGTTTGTTGCTACTTTTCTGATGTATTTTACAGTTTCAGCACAGGAGATTTATACCTGCAGATTTTTTGACAGGATTATTTAGCACAAATGTGACTTTTATATAAAATTTAGAAACATTTTTCTCCATTCTCTGATTTGTAGTGTGTAAGTATTTGTAGTGGGAACGTCAGAGTTCTTTGTGCAATTACTGCAAGAGATATAACAAATTGCAGCCCTTCTTGCATTGGCCAAATGACAGCCTGATGTGTTGTTGTACATAAGGGCTGCCTGTTTTCCATTATTTTTATATGCTTAATGTTCATGTTGTTAGAGTTTCAACAAGGCAGATATCTGAGCCCATGCACTTAAATTTTAAAAAAATGGGACGTGTTATAAGACTTTCGTTCTGCAAACTCGATAAGAATAATCTTTATTTTTTTGAGAATTTGAAAATCTGATTCTTGGCCTTGTGCTGTACAATTCTTGGATTTGAACTGGAGATTGTATTGATTGTGCTTCTTCTGTGGTAAAGAATTACAAAAATGTATAGAGATTTTTGTCTTCATAGCTAAATGCATGTATCTAAAGGCCAGGTAGAATAGTATCTAGGATTTCTTTTCGAGTTAAATCAAGTTGGTGAATGTTTTACAGTTTCATTTTTGGTGCAAGTTCTCTCAGTTTCTGGGTAGACTTGAGGTATTTTAAAGTGATAAGTGGTTTTGGGGAGCAGATTTCAAGCAGAAGGGGTTTATTCTGCCCTTAGCAGAGAGGGTTTGTTCTGGGAAGCAGGAATATGAATACTTTTTCAGCTTGGAAATGGAAATCAGAAGTAGAACTGCTAGTATTAGCCTCTTGATGAGAAGGACAAAAACTCCCTCCAAGTATACAACACAGCACACTGGTTTTAAATGTTCTTTTCCCTTTCTTTTTTTTTTTTTTTTGTTTCCTAATAGAAGTTGCTACTCAAAGTACATTTTACTGTTTTTCCTCTGTGAAAGCATCTAACGTGCATGGATTCCAGGGATCCACTGTTTGGCCAGAGTGACTCTCCTGCTGCCTTGCCCATCACAGTCCACCTCTTGGGCAGTTCTGCCTCCTCGGCTGTGCCGGCACGGCCACCCCAGCCACGGGCTCCCTCTGCAGAGGAGTTCCAGCTGGCAGACCAAACCAGGCAGCCTCTCTGTGAGCTGCAGCCCCCAGGAGGGCCCAGTGCACCCATGGTGAGTGTGTCTGAAAACGGGGCTGGTGGTGTGTTCACAGACGAGGGAGCCCTTTGAAGAACTCTCTTACATGCTGCTTGTTTGTTGTAGCAACAGCTGATTCAGACTTTAGCAACAAGGTGAAACTTTTCAGTGGTTCAGTTCATGCTTCAGTTTCCCCCCCTCAGGTAGGCAAATCCTTCATGGTCTTCAGCCATTACTAATAATAAACAACAACTTGTCTTTTACCATTATCAAGCCTGGATGCTGTTGTGTAGGAGATCTCATACTTCTACTGCTGCTGCATTCTCTATATTCCCTGGATAAGTCTCTGTTTTTCCTTGAGGGATTGGAACATCAGCAATAAGCTAACCCATTATATTTCACATCCACCCTCACCCCGCAATTAATTTGCTTAAAACATTGCTTTGTAATTTTAACAGCTGTTTTGTAAAAAGGTAACTCTTACCTAGAGGCCTTGGTTGGCATGTATTGTGCTGTCACTAAAGACACTTCACCCATTTAAAGTGTAATTAATCAGAAACAAGATGATCTTTTATGTTACTCTAGGTTTTGTAACATTGCTGGGAACAAGTCCTTTATAATTAACATCACAAGGAGTTACGTTTTTCAAAATTCTAGGTAATTTAATTTGTATTTTTGCAAGTCCTGGAACTTTTCTTCTATCTGCTTTTGCATGAAATACTGCCCAGAGAGGTCAGTTTCTCAGAAGTAAAGGTCAAAATTTTTACATATTATGATTAATTTTGCTAGTCTGTGAAAGGGCTTACAGTGAATCCAACTATGAATGGCTTTCAGGTTTTTCATAGTATTGTAAATTTCAAATAAATGTGTAATTCATTGTAGAATCATGTAAGGTGGTGGGTTTTTTCCTTTCCTTAATTCAGTTAAAGGGTTATTTTAAAAAGGGGGAAATAATTTTAAGAAATTGACAGTAAATAGGCAGTTTTCTTATCATGTGAAACGAAGTTAATTTATAGGCCCTAATTCCAACCAAAATGTTTCTTGTACTGGTGATAATCAAACCCAGTCATGCTGCATGATCTCCATACAAACAAGTGCCATTCCTGCTTTTGTGTGATTGCCTTACAGATGATTGTTGCCAGCCAGTCAGAAGATGGACAGGTGCTGCATGTCATTCCTTCCGCTCAGCCAGGAGTGACCCAAGTGATTATTCCTCAAGGTCGGCTTCTGGATGTGACCAGCACACAGGGTGAGTGTAACCTGTGGGACTTGAGGGTGTGAATTCCTGAGTGCATCCTGCATGATCTCTTTTTGAGCACCTTCTTTGTGTGTGTTTCCTTTCCTTAGTCAGCTGTGAGACAAAATACATCCTGAATCTGCTTTCTGATTATGAATCTGGCACACCACACACCACATTTTCTATTGGGCAAAAACCTTATGAAAGAAGAGCTATTATGTCCCCTTTCCGAAGGATATGTGATGGGTAGATTGAGATATCAAGCAGAGTTGTTTCTTGCCTTATTTAGCATTGATAAGGATGTTTATGCTGTCAGACAGCTGTACTATCAGCTTCAAATTTTCACTGTCTGTTTACTTCATTTTGAGTGAAGTAGTTAATTCATGTAGTGCAGAAAAAACAGGGTGACATTAATTCTTCTGTTCCAGAAATCACTGGTAATGATGCATCTTTTGTGAAGCCAGAACTGAATTGCCTGGTAGAAATTCAGTTCCCAGTGAAGGAAAATGAGATGTAACTTTCACTTTGTTGCAATATGATAATTGTCACATTTTAAGTATGAGGGGAGATGTACAACTAGAAGTGCAAATTTTAAGGTTTTCTCTAGAAAATGGACGTACTAAGATCTGAAAGTATTGATTATCTGCAAGCCTTACTGGATGGCAAAATACTATGTATTAGTTTGCATTCACAGAGATGAGAATGCAAAGACTGAGAACTAGGTGGTCACATTTTGTTAAACTCTCAAAGGTTTTTTAAACTTTTTTCATTCTCTCTATGAAATTCTCAAAATCCGAGCAGTAGTTAAGTGCTCCTGTGGAATGATAGCTCAAAGGTAGGACTAGAGTCCTGATGCTGGGTGGATAGAAGATTTGGGATTCAAGTCATGATCCAGCCCTTTTCACTTACAGTTGGAGTGTAGTTCCATGACCTTGCATTGAAAGGCTTGTTCCTGCCCTAATGCTCAACCTTCCCTCCCTTTCCTGCTCCTGCAGGGATAAGACCACTGTTTGGTTACAGCACAGTCTTATATTACTATAAAGCTGACTGTGAGCCTTTAGTGCTGAAACAATTGCTGCTGCTGTTTGTAAGCACTATGTTGCAATGCTGAATAGTATCTTTGTGTTGCCATTGTTCATCCTACATGGGACTCTGTGTCATAGTGTGTGAATACGTGTTCTACAATAGTGGTAGAGGGGGTTTTGGTGGGATTTTTTTGTTTTGTTTTGTTTTTTCCTAGAGACTTACTGTATAAAAGACTTTGTAGTTATTTGATCTTTAGCAGACAGTTAGGAAGACTTGTCAGTGGTTTACTATGAAGATTAAAGGGCAAGGAGAATGGCCTGTCAGCCCTTGAGTTTCTCTTGTCTGCACGTGGTGGTAATGCAGGAAATGGCACAGGCTTCAGTGTAGCTGTAGTGTCTTAAGGGGATGTCTGTGGAGGAGGAACCAGTGCTTTGAACCAGAGGGGTGGTAATCTGAGTGCACACGTACAAATCTTCTCATAGAGCTTTCTAGTGGAGTGATTTCTGTACTCTGTCAATAGCTTATCACTGTCTCTCAGGATGGGGAAAGAGGCTTTCATAACTGAAGGGCAAAAATCCTTCATCTAAAGAGACTTTGTGTTTTTTTGTTGAGACCAAAATATCGACTGTCTACTTTCGCAGCTTTCCATTATGTTTTTGTTTAACTGTACACACAGGCTTCAGTCTAACAGTAATTTTTGGCTTATGGATTCCTCCTTATTACCAAGAAAGGCTAAAACATTTGCTCTAACAGCATGTCAGATTCAATTATAAGAGGCCTGTTTTTCTTGTTTAAGTGTTCTTTACTAAGTACAAAGCGGTACCATTGCGTCATTTTTTCTTATTTTAAAAGCAGCCAGTGTGTGATTTGCAGCTGAGCAAAATAGTTGTGCAATCCTGTATGGATTCGTGGAAATGTAAAGCAGAGTAATTTACAAGTTGTTCTGATTATTTGCTTTGCTGTGGAAGGATTAATTAGCAGTAGTGTGATTACCAAAGTCCTTGAATAGAAGCAACTTTATCAAGTGTATCTGCATATGTGTGCCTGGAGTTAGAGTACTGATTCACAACTATTCAACTACTTTATCATCTGTAAAACTTCTTTCATATGTCAAAAGGCTTGCTCTTCCAAACATGAGGTTTAGTCATAGCTGCTTGTTTCCCCATTCTTTGTTCAGTTATTAACCAGAAGTCTGTTTTATTTTTGTAAAGATGCTTCGGAAGAGAACTGTGGCGATGGGAACCTGCAGACTGTGGTGGTGGCTGCTATAGCAGACAGTGCAAGCAGTTACATTCTACACCCACAGGCATCTCTCACTGTATCAAAAAAAACAACCACCAGGTAGGTTGGGAGTTAAAAGGATGAACAATCACTTCGATTCACTGTTAGCACTGTGGTTTTTTCTTGCAGTTTTGATTTTGCAATGGTTGTCACAAAATTACCGTGGAGTGGAGGTTACGAACCCTTAGTGTTAGTGAATGATGTATAGCTAACTGGGTTTTCAGGCAGCTTTTGTGTGTGCCAGAGCAGTGGAAAAAGCAATTAAAGTACCTGTATTCTATTCCCTGTATTCCAGACATAATTGGATATATTCTGACTGGAGTGCTGGTGGGCATTTAAAGTAACACAGTGCAAATTACTGAAATAACTTTCAATAAACACTGTTACTGCCAACCAAGAGTTGAATGTGATCCAGTGAGGGAACTGCAGGGAAAGTTGATGTTTGAGGGAGCAAAGTTTCTTGTAGGAGTGTACTAAAACCTATATAAACCATCCTCCCTCAAGAACAGTTGATTGTAGAGATTGATTTTTTAGATAGAGTTTTCAGTAGTTGGCATTAACTGTTGAGAGCCTGGTCTTTGTTCTCTGGATAACTTCTTTGGTTTCCTTTGGTAAAATATGAGAAAGTAGCTGGTAACAGTGTATTTTGGTGAAACACTTAGACAGACACATTGATTAACAAAGCTTCTGAAGTTAATTAGTTGTTAGGTTTTTTTAACTTGATATCCACCTGATTCTCTCCCCATGCTAAATGTTGCCTACTATTTTAATTCCTGAATACTCTGGAATTCTTTTTTGCTTTAAAAAACCCTCAAAACCTCAAACCAACCAAATAGAGCAACAGCAGCAAAAAAAAAAAACAAACAAAAAACCCAAACAAAAAAACCAAACCAAACCAAAAACAAAAAACAAGAAAAACAAATCCACAAACAAATAAACAAAACAAACAAACAAACAAAAAAAAACCAAAAAACCTATGACAACAGAAAAACTCCCAAAGAAGGTGTTTGCTCTGTGGACTGTAGGCTGGCTTTGCACTGGTTTATGCTCTTCAGAAATTGAGATGTGGAAAAGATCAGAGTCATCTCACTCCAACACAAATTATATATGTTCAAGAAACATGTAAAATGAAGAGAAACAGTTTGTGAATGGATGTTGAGAACACAGTCTGTACATGCCAGAAAAATAATCCTGGAAAGGAGGCATATTTTTATAGACAGGAGGTGATGCACCTGTTTCGGAATAATAAACATTGAGTAGGCATTGTTTCTGGCCCAGGATTTAAGGAATGGAGAAACTAGGTGTGTACTTAAAATAGTTATTGGAGTTGTTTTTCAGTAATTTATAAAATATATTAAAATGTGCAGTGTTTGATATTGGTTTTAGTCTTTAGCATTTTACCATCAGTCTGCATAAGAAAATTATCCAGACAATCAGCTGCTCTATTTCACCGTGTTTTGTCTATTGTTGTCAAGCAACAACACTAAGAATACTGAATGTTTGGAGGTCTTGAATGTAGAAAACGGTGGTTTTTTTAAATACTTACATTTATTGTAAATTATTTTAACAATGAAATAGAATATGAAGAAAAGGAAGCCCAGGTTTTTAAGGCATGTTGATACAATATCCATGGTTGGATCATATGCTCTACAGTTATACATAATACACTGATTTGATGTTACCTGTAGTTCAGACTAAATTGTTGCTTTCCTGAATGTCTGTAAAGACTTCTATTATATTTTTTTTGCTTTTTCAGGGTAATGGAAGATCCTTTTCACATCCCTCACCAGCCTTTGCCACTAAATACCCCTGCATGGGCACGCTGTCTCAGGAACTGTGAGGTGGGCCACAAAGAATTCTGACTTGGTGTTTTAGTATCTTGATCTAAGATAGTGATCCTATTGCACGAAAGGAATAATTCATAGTTGTAGAAGTTGTGTTCAAGCTTCCTGATATATAGTAGTGGTATTGCTAACACAGTTAGACACATAAAATGCTGTGGAATCCTTTTCTATTTTGAGAATGTTAGAATAACTGACCAGCAACAGCTTCTGAAGCAAAAAATGTGCTGCTGAAAACCTGATGCCTTACAGTGCTGGGAAGAATCATTGTGCACCATGTAAGGACTTGCTTTTGAACTGCAGGGCAAACTTTGCTGACCTCTGCAATTATTCATGCTAGTTTGTGTTACCACACAGAAATGAAAATCCATGTGACTGGCCAGTGTCAAGTCTGAGACTTAAAACACCTTAATGTCAATATTTTATTAAGGATTTCTGTTTTATATATTCTGTGGGTTTTTTTCTTTTTTGTCCCAGCAGGTTAGGTTACCTGTACTTGTTTTCTCTTTTGTTAAAAAGTTATTCCCCATGATGGCTTTTGACCTAAACAGAACTTTTCCTTTATTTGCATATTGTGAGGTGTCTGCAGAACTGTCCTGATGACTGGATCCTATCAACAGCTAGAATGTATCCCAAGTCACTTAAAAGGAAGGGAGGGGAGAAGGGAAGACTCTTGAGAGTTCAACTACCCCTTCCTCCTGCTACCAGACTCTTCCTGATAGATGTTTATTTCACTTTCCCTTAATACTTTTTAATAGGAAATCTTATACTCTCTAACTGCTTCATCTCTTTAGATATCTCTACCACTTGAGTTTTTTCCTATCGACTTGGCCACTGATAACTGGAAATTACCATTGCAGGGACTTAGAAATTGAATTTCTTTCTAAGTATCCACTTAGAAATAATTTTTAAATATATTAATCTCTTCCTCTTTTTATATGCTATGTATTTCATACAAATGGTACTGTCCACTCTTATATCCACTTAAATGTTAAGAGGTCAGAAACTTATTAGCAGGAATTCTTCCATGGTGGAGACACCATTTTCATAGAATCAGTCTCTTAATTCAGTTGGCCAGTTAGTTGGTAAAGTTCACTAAACTGTGTTTTTAGCACTATGTGGCACATACTTTCTTATCTTAGCATCCATATGGCTTATCTGAATCATTTATTATTGTTTTCATTTTATAGGAGGACTTGTATTATGATCTACTTTGTCTGTCTATTACAAGAAATTTCACCTGCTCTATTTAAAATTCACAGCAGCATTTATAGGAGAGATCTTATTTTTATAGAACAGGAAATAGAAATATTATCTGTTTGAAGTGTTCTGAGGACATAAACATCTGCTTCTGCTGTTCAGCAGAACTGTTGCCTGTATGCACTAATCCTCCCTGATCCACTGGAGACTGCTAGGATGTATGTACCTTTTCATGGGCACAGACTAGAGACAATGGGATTTTGGGGTGTCATTTGTCTTTCAGGTGTGACCGTCTTACATATTATTCTGTTACTAGTGACAGAATTGTGGGGTCCTGCTGGAACTTGGAGGGGTGCTGGTAAATCTGTCAACTCACAGTTCCACTCTTGCAGTTGCTTGCCAAAATAGAGACAAACAGTGCTGAGGTCTGTGTGACTTTCACAGAAGATGTCAGCAGGTGAAGCCACTGCACCCTAAAGGGCAGTGACTCCTTTGGTAGTTAGTACTGCAGGTAAACACAGAGAGTAAAAGCTACAGTTATCCAAATTAACACTAAGCTTTGTGTTTGATGTTGATTCCCTGACTACCTTGAAATGTTCAGCTGTGTCTAGACAGCATAATGCCTCTGGTACCCTGCTGCTGTTAGTTCACTCAAGGAAACTGCAGTTTTGGTCTGTGTACTTCAGTGTAAGCTTTTATGTACCTTTGCTGAGATGAGGCCAGAGGAGAGAAAAAGGAATTGCTTCTTTTTTTGGCTTGAACCTTGGAGTGAAAGGGTTGGAGAGTATCTGATTACTTCAAGGTAATTACTTTGTTAATAAAAAGTGAATTTAAAACCAGCTATTTTCAATAACCTACTTAGTTTTCAATGGTGTGATCAGAATGCATTTCCAGCATGTATCAGCATACTGAAATAAAGTGTAATTATAAATTGCATTAATTAACTCTACAAAGCTTAGTAAATTTATTTTTCTGAAGCAGATGGTCTCATTTGTTGATTTTTTTTTCCCTACTTGCAAAGCTCATAGAGAGCAGGGATCTTATGTGCTTATGATTTTCTTCTTGTCCTCCTCCTCCCCGCCACCAATTTAGGGAAGTGATCTAACTTGTGCAAAAGTAAAGCCAGAATAGGAGACAGTACCTTAACTGTTATTGCTATTTTTCTGGCACAACAGTTTTATCAGTCTTCTCATCTCCTTAGAATAAGGTCAATGTCCTATTTATAGTGACAAGTGTAAGATAACATTAAAAAAAGCCTGGTTGTGCAGTATTTATTGTGTGGAGTGGTGCTGTCATCCCTACTGTGAAAGGCAGCATCCCAGGTTTCTGTAAGGAAGGTAGTTCCGGTACTTCTCAGACTGCTTTGCTTCTCCTGGATTTTTCAGACCAAGGTTTGGACAGAAATGTTATTTATAACTTCTAAGTAAACGATTGCCAACCTCTCTAGCTCTGCACAGCTGTGTGGGTGCAGCCTGTGCAGACTTTAACTGCTGGAGCAGTGTGCTGGCAGAGCAGGGGGTGCTGAAGTGTCAGCACCTCGTGGCTCAGAGTGACTCCCATGCAGTGGACACACAGCCCTCAGTGTCTGGCCTTGCGCCCACAGCAACACCGTGCTGGCCCAGTTCATTCACACGATCTTTGTTGGTTCTTGGTTGATTTAGGTTTTGCACAGCCATTTTGGTTTTCTTAGATGACTATGAGGCAGATTTTAGGCAGGTGTCGCTAAAGTATCTGTGCGATAACAATTTTGAAGAGACACCATTGCTGCTTTTTTTGCCAGTATTACTTAAACATCTGTCTGCTCTGTCACTGAAGGTGGCAAAAGAGTTCCATCAGACTTTGGTACTCATTGGAGTGTGTTTGTCCCACAGACTGAGCTGGCAAACTACTCTGGGTGTTACTTACAGCCAGTTGCCCAACCTGTCCCTGAGCTGCATATGAACAGAAGGAAGCATGGCATTCTGAATTTGGGTGGAAAGTTCTCTGTCCCAGTAGTTTTGCTGATGGCTGGCTGGCCCTGGTAGACCAGCACTCAACCGGCTGTGATGGCACTGAGTAGCTGGATAACTACTTGGAGTCTAGTTAGATGCAGTTTTTGTGGAGTTGCCAAGATTGTAGCAGAGTTCATTGCAACCATCATCAGTTTGCACATGGCAGATCTGGTATAGTATGTTTCTGTGTAATGCTGAGAATCAAGAGTGCATTGAAGGCTGGGAGAGATAGTATGTGGGACATTCCATTCAAAGTTAGTGCACTAAGTGGGTGAGACAGTTACTGGTGGTATAAGTGGGTGTATTCTGCTCCAGTGCAGTGGAGCATGTGTGTGTTGCAGTACATGCATAGACAATTATTAGTGGTTCAGAGATTCTCTGTGGCAGTCAAGTGAAAAACTTCATCTAAGGCAAATTTGTGTAGGTGGTGACTGTACCCAAAGTGTGTACTGGGGGGAAACCACAGGAGTGAAGTTGTCCTATGGAAATCAGAGTTGGCAGTAACTGTAACTGTGTCAGGGGTTCTTGGTGTTTTTAGGGTCTTGAGTGGCTGACAAACTCCTGACCTCAGTGGAGACCGCTCTGGCGTTAGATCCTACATTAAATCTCTGTGAGGTACTAATGTGGGGACAAAAAACGTAAAACACCAAAAATCTGGGCCTATGTTCTCACCTGCCAGAGTCCCTGACTGCTTTTGTTTTCTTGTGTAATGTTCAGCAGTCAGCTGGGTGAATAATCCTATTATTTCACCTCCTTTCCATGCAGAAAATTGGGGACTCGTACCGCGGCTATTGTGTGAGTGAGACAGAATTAGAGAGTGTTCTAACGCTACACAAGCAGCAAACACAAAGTGTGTGGGGGACACGCCAGTCTCCAAGCCCAGCCAAACCCGCCACACGGTTGATGTGGAAATCTCAGTATGTCCCATATGATGGGATCCCCTTTGTCAATGCAGGTAACTAACTTTTATTTTAATAACTACTTTCAAAATTTCAACATTAGCTTCCAACTGGCCATAAAGAGGAGTCTTTATGTTGTTCCTTAGTGTTGGTAAAGTCAAGGCATAAACATAAAAAAGGAGCAGCTTGGGCATTTCTGTGACACAGTCTGAAGGAGCTTGTTTTCTGAAACAAGAGGAAACATGTTTTTTGGGTTTTTTTATGTTTTGTTGTGATTATTTCCTTTTGTCCTTTAGGAATTAGTTAAGTACTGTTTGATGGGGGTTCATGTGCTGAAATCTTTAAGGGGGAGGTCCCATCTGCTCTATTAGGACATGAAAGTGCTCATAAGGGTAAGAGCTTGTTCGCTTATTCTTGCCTAACTTGAAGATCTTTTGAAGAGTTTGTTCCTCAGGAGTCAAGAAACTATTTAAGTTGCAACCTTTAAAAAAATAAATAAACTTTAAAAAGCAACCAAACAAGATAAATATCAACATACCTCAGCAGACAGATTTTTGGGTTTTTTTTAAATGAACATGAATACTTCATAGGTTGGTAATTACATATTTAGCTCATGAATGTTATGTGTTACTAAGAGTTAATTTGGATATTAAATGAATGGGGTTTAATTGTTACATAGAGAAAATGATTGGCAGGAATGTAGGTTATGTGCTTGGGTTTTTTCTTTTCTTTTTCTTTTTTTTCCCTGAAAGTTACTGAAAAAGTGAAGTATTAGCACCAGTTTTAAAGCTTCAGCCATAAACTGTGAGGTAAAAGAAAACAAAGTCATCAAAATCTTGATTGTTATTTTTAGTGAGAATTTTGGGTAGTTGAAGCTTTTGTTAAACAAGGTGCCTATCAAACTGGTTTTGAGATTCAATTTAGCAAAGACTAGTTTAAAGCTGTTGCAGTCTTTTCAATCCTGAAATTTACATTTTGAGTTTGTATGTTAAAATGTTTGTTAATGTTTGTTTGTTAAAAACGAGACAAGATATATTTGTTATACATAATTAGATTTTTTTTCATTATTTTTTTAATGTCATTTATTACCCTGAAGCAATAAATCATTTGATATCTTACAGAAGCAGATTATGTTCCTGTTGTAATACTTAAAAAGGTTTTGGTTATGTCACTTGTGGTATAGGCAGCTGCTTGCCTGACAAATAAAAGATAACTAAACATGACGTGGAAGAAATTTGGAAAACGTTCCCTTCTTGACAGCATTAATGCTTTGCTCGTCAGCTCTTTTTTTAGAGGTCTGATTGGAAGAAGTCACTTACTTCAGGTTTAGAGCAAAGCAGCATTTGTTTAGGCCTGTCTGGTTTTGTGTGGGTATGCTGCTCTGAAACTCTGTTATTTGGCAGTTAAGATAGCTCTGACTTGCAGTTAAGAATTTATGGGACAGACTGGTCTGAAGTGTTGATTTAAGCCAGGGGGCTGGAAATGGCTGCTGACCTGCTGTCGTGGTTTAACCCCAGCTGGAAACAACCACAGAGCCACTCGTTCTTTCCTCCTGGTGGGATGGGGGAGAGGATCGAAAGGGTAGAAGTGAGAAAACTCGTGGGTTGAGATAAAGGCAGTTTAGAAGGTTAAGGAAAAGCTGGGCACACAAGCAAAGCAAAGTAAGGAATTCACTCACACCTTCCCGTCGTCAGGCGTGTGTTCAGCCATCCCTAGGAAAGCGGGGCTCTGTCACCTCTAATGCTGACTTGGAAAGACAAATACTGTACCTTTGAATGCTCGCCTCTTCCTCCTTCTTCCCCCAGCTCTGTACGCTGAACATGAGGCCCTATGGTATATTCCATACCATATTCCATGACTTTGGTCAGTTTGAGACAGCTGTCCTGGCTGTGTCCCCTCCCAGTTTCTTGTGCCCCTGAGCCTCCTTGCCTGTGGGGTGCAGTGAGAGGCAGCAAAGACCTTGACTCAGTGTAAGCCCTGCTCAGCAGTAACTAAACATCCCTGTGTTATCAGCACTGTTTTCAGCACAAATACAAAACACAGCCTCATACTGGCTACTGTGAAGAAAATTAAAACTGAGTCCCGGCCAAAACCAGCACACGTTTGATTTCAGCTGTGAATTTTCTCTGTTATTTTGGGGATTCTGCTTCTTTTATGTTTATTACCAGCATTGTGCTCCTTTGGTAATTTTCTCATCTTATGAAGTACTGGTGTTCACCAGGGCAGAATCTCATACTTTGCCTTCACATATGTTGCAGGAGTGTTACGAGGTGTAACAGGTTTGAGAAATGCCTAGTAAATGCTCTGTGTTCTTGCATGCTGTGAGAGAAGCATTTGCACTGTATTTGCTTGCTACACCTAAGCGTTCTGTCTTCTGAACAGTCCGATGGCAAACAGAAACGTTCTGTTTCAGAACTCTCATCTCTTCTGTAGTTACTGTTTTACTGTAAAAAATTCAGTTATTGCTTGAATAAATATAGAGTGAATTGCTTTCTGTTTCCAGGAAGCAGAGCCATTGTAATGGAGTGTCAATATGGGCCAAGGAGGAAAGGTTTCCAGCCCAAAAAAGCTGGTGAGCAGGAAAGCACCTCTGGCCATCTGTACAAAGCCACTTGTCCAGCAAGGTATGAATTATCTATAAAGCTGTAAGAGTGACTCAGCATCCTAAGAAAGTGTTCTTTCTGTGAGTTGGGACAGAGCACTCTTTTGGGGTGGTAGCTGATACTCTCTGCTGTAGCTCTTGTTTCATCTCCTTGGGAGCTTGAGGTTGATACTCATTTAGAGGTAAGGAGGAAATGCTGTCCTATTTGACTCAATAAGGCTGAGATCTGATAGATTGCCTGGATGCAAAGTAGCAGCACATCACTATATGAAATAGAAGTAAGAATCATTATCTACCTGAGCATTAGTGAGTTACTGTGATGTTCTTTAGCGACCATTTCGGGTCATAAAACTTTGTCATATTATTTATTGTTTTTTCTTCAGGCTTTTAATTGCATTGATATCAGTCAAGCCTAGTTTAGCACAAGTCCTGTGTGCTGAAGACGTTACAGTTCTTCCTGTTCACTGAGGAGTTTCTCCTTATCCAGCACTAATGGTTTTTTTCCTTGAGCACCCTCCTGGATGCTTGTTCAGTTTTTACTGATTTAAGAGTGTGTTTACTTCAACAGTTGTAGCTAAGTATGTATGTGCTCAATTTTGCACAGCTGGGTGAACTGCAGTCTGTTCACAAATGGTGTGTGCTTTTGCTATACTGAGGGACAGAGGGTTTTTTCTGAGGAACAAAATCACTCTGACTGAGCAGCTGCCAGACCAGACCAGAAGTGTGTCTGTATGCATCCATCTCTATTGAAGTGTCTTTAAGAATTCTACAGTTATTTTAGAGGCTCCTTCCTCCCTGCATCACTCTGCTCAAACTTCTATTCTAGTGTCTGATATGAAGATGGGGATTTTGCCTTTCCCCTCCCAAGGACAAAGTATACTGATGGAGAATTTTTTTTTATTCCCCCTGCCTTCCCCCTTGGCAGAATCTATATTAAAAAGGTTCAGAAGTTTCCAGAATACAGGGTTCCTACTGATCCTAAAATTGACAAGAAAATCATAAGAATGGAGCAGGAGAAAGCATTCAACATTCTGAAGAAGAACTTGATAGATGCTGGCGGTATCCTCAGGTGAAACTTCCACTTCTTTCTTTATTTTCACAAATGAAGCAAAAAAGAGCAATGTTTTGCTAGGTTTGCTTTATTTTTTACTGAGTCACTTATTAAGGCTTTTGATTAATATCAACAGTAAAAAAATCCCACAATGTCAGTAAGACTCCTGTGGCTCTGAAGTATTCATTTGGTAAATGCGTTAAGCACCAAGTGGTGGAACTTCAGCAGGTGTTTTCATGCAGATAGAAATAGTTGTATTATTGGAGGGTTTGAGCTAGTTTATTTTGCATTGAAAGGTGTGAGGGGGCCCTGAGTTGTGAAAGACATTAGGGCCCTGAGTTGTGAAAGCGTCAAAACTTACATCGCTCTAACTAGGTTGTTTGTGGTTGTCAGACTGTTCCCCTAAGACACCAAATTTTTTGCCTTTGCTTGAGAATTGTGTGTTTAAACTCTTTCCTTCTTGCTAGGTGGTATGTACAGTTACCCACTCAGCAAGCCCACCAATACCATGAAATGGAAACGTCCTGCCTCCCTCCTTCACCCTCCCATTTTCCTGTGTCTTCTCCTGAGGAGGAGGAGGAGGTTGTGAGAGATGAGAACTGTGCTCTGCCTTCTCGACTTCATCCTCAAGTGGCAGACAAGATCCGAGAACTGGTGTCTCAGGGAATAGAGCAGGTCTATGCAGTGAGGAAGCAACTAAGGTACAGAACTGTCTGGAATGCTCTCAGTCTGTAGTGCTGTATCTACTCTTGCATCTGATTAATTTGGTTTGCAACTAAATGGTTGCAAATGCAATGATGCACCACTGGGTGTATTTCCCAGATGTCATGAGACTGTTTTTCCCACCTTTTATCTTCTCTTTCTATATTATTGTTGGTAGCCACCAAAAGCTGCTGTACTCTTTAAATATACTTAAATAAATGGAGATTTTAAATTCCAAACTCTGTAGCAGATGCACAAGGAACTGGCAGAAGATCATCTAGCTTGCTTTTGTCTTGTCATTGCAACAAGGGGAGGGAGAAGGTAGTGGTGTCTCTAACAGAGGGAAATAGCACAATGTATTTAAATGTGCATATTTGAATGTCCTTTAACATGTGACAGAAAGTATGTGGAAAGAGAGTTATTCACGCCTGATGAAGTGCCAGAAAGACATAATCTGTCCTTCTTCCCCACTGTGAATGACATCAAGAACCACATTCATGAAGTACAGAAGTCCCTAAGGAATGGAGAGATGGTGTATAATTCAGAAAGTATCCCAGCAATGGTATGTTAGCCTTTGTGTATCTTTTTGATTTTTGGAGTTATACTAGAAGTGTTGTTTTTAATTTGTACCATTTTGCTGTATTTCTTTAAAAATGCTCTATGTCTTTATATTTCCAGCAGCAATATTTTCACTGGAATCTCTGGCTGAGCACGGTTGGATTAAATGTGAATAAAACCTTCTGACCTTCTTCAGTATTTATCTCATCAGCATTAGATTGCTGTTATTTGATTGACAAATTATACAATACTAGCACTTCTTAATGCCCATGAACTGGAAGCCATGTGGTGTAGAAAAATTGGCACGTGGCAGAAAATTTTATTCATGTCTTTGTCATCATCTGTTTTGAAGAAGTTACTACTACTTTTCCGTATCTGAAAAAATGGGGGTGAGGTGTGTCTGAGGTGCAGTCGAAATTAGGGCTTACATGACATTTTGAATGTGTAAACATTAGTAAATACACTTTATAGCAAGTGAAGTAAGCTTGAAGTCAATACTTCTGAATGCTCAGTAACTCTCAGATGTTTCTTAATTTTCTTTCGCATATTGACTCATAAAGGACACACAGTGATCCTAGTTTTCCCAGTTATGAGAGTGACTACTAAGAAACTGCTGATTTAAAATCAGCTTTGACAAAGCCTTCTGTTAAATCATGCTGTGTCATCAGTCTTTTCCTTCTCCCTATACTGTTGTGGCCCAGGTGATGAGTGAGTGTTCTTGTTAGTTAGCCAAATGGTTTGACTGTTTTCTATTTTAAAGTCTTTAAACTCTCATGAGCAGACTTCAGCCTTCCTGATATAGTGTAATGTTCACAATATTTTTTTTTTTTGGTAAATCAAGAGCTCCCAAAATGCATAGTTATAAGAAAATAAGGAAGTGTAGTTTTAGACATTGTTTTCCTACAGGTCCTGTATTGAGCCTGTGTTCCTGCAGTAGACAAGCTTGTACCCTTTCTGAGAACTGAGATCTTTTTCCTTTCAGCTGCAATGGACCACGGACAGTGGGAATGTCCTCACAGAAACAGTGACTGTTACATTTGCCTCACCACCTTCAGATGGTAGGACTGTTTGGATAATGTAGCTGTCTTCAAATGTGTTTTATTAGCTATGTCACAGAAGTTCAGTTTAATTCCAGAGAGGTTGCTGCCATGTTCTGTCACTCAGCTGAACTTAAGAAGGATTATTTTGTCATAACTATTTTCATTTGCTTTTTTTAACTATTTGACTGCATGTGTGGAAAAATATGTAGTCATGATGTTGTTGGAAGAAGTACTAAAATAATGAATTGGGCTTTTATTTAGCAGCCTCAAGCAATTAAAAATTTTAGTGGGATGGTTGTGTGAAAAGAACATTTTATCTTGGATGAAGATGCTAATAACACCTGTCAAGAGAATTAAATTAGACTCAGCTTGAACAGTGCCCCTCTTTTTTAAGAAAGTCTCGTTTTTTAGGAAAAAAGAAATTTACAATGTAAGCAGACTTACTGCAGTTAAGCTTGCATGCCTGTGTTAATATTGCTATTACTGTGCTTTTAGGGAGAAACACAGAATAGTTGTGCTCTCAACAGCTGTGATAGAGCTGAGCAGGATGACTTTTGGTATGAACTGAGTGCTGGAGAAGGTTCAGGAAGAGACCAATTCTTGGCTTCTTTGTTTTACACAGATAATTCTCTAAGACAAAGTAGCCTATCAAATGTGTAAACATCCATCCAGTGACATACTGAATTTTACAGGAGGCCAGAGAATTGGTTTTGTTTAGTTTTATGCACATGTGCACCAACTCAGTGAAAATAAGCAGATACTCTAATTGCAGCATGTCTTGTCTCCCCTTATATGTGTGGGTATGTGTTTGTACATATTTCAAACACGTGTTTATAATTGTATTACAAGTCTAAGGAAAAAAAGAAGCCTGGCTTTCTAAAAATGAGCTCTTATTAGTGTTTGTGAAGCGGTAGCAAGGGAAAACAACATTGACTTTTATGACTACTCTTTGTATACGTTTTTTTTTTTTAATTTCAACTTGTGCCAAGTGGGGACAACTTTACATTTAAGAAATCAGGCAATAACGGAACTTCTTGTGTGGAACTCCATATCTTCATGGGATACAGCTTCCTCTGTAGCAGGTATATCAGGAGTTGAACTATTAGCTTTGTTCCTGGGCATGTTGCCGTAAAATACAACCTAAGGAAAGAACTACCATCTCTTCCTGCATATGAACATTCACATATGCATATGGATATTAAAAAGAACCTAAATATTTGAAGTAGTTGTGTTCAAGGAGATTTATAGAGAGTATCTTGTGGTCAGTTGTGATAAAGATTTAAAAGTTTGCAGATCAGTATGTATGTTGAAAAATGAATCTCCCCTCAGATTGCTGAAACTTTTTCTATGATTTTCTGATAAGAAAGCATTTTGCAGTTGACCATTCTCAATTTTTGCCATTCACCAGACTAGTCTGCATTCACAGGGCAAGCTCTTCTTTTGCTGTTATAACAGTGAAACTCCTAAATAAAAGACTGAGCAATGTCTACTTGTGTCTGCATAAATCTTAACCAAAATGTTCTGGGTGGCTCAAATAGGAAATGAAATGATCCCATGAGAAGTTTTCTTGCAGAGATTGCTACAAGTGAATCTCAGTTTTTACAAGCCTTCAGGAAATGAAGTCCATCATTCTTACACTGAATAAGAATTTTGAGGATATGATGTAATCTGTAGGCTGAAAGGCCTCCAGATAAATGGACTTTTGATGATATTGCATAGAAGTTATGCTAAGATTGGAACAACAAGATTGGAAGGGAGTGGTGAGACAGAAAATTTCCTGTGTAGTTTTTTTTTTTTTGAAGACAACCCTTTTTTTGATACCTATCTGTTACTGAGCCCTTACTGAGGTGTAGATGTTGTCAAATTATTTGTTTGCTGCTTTGCTAGAAATGTTTCAGCCTTTGTTCTGTAACTACAAATTCAAAGCACAGTGTAGGGTGCAATTACTTTGCTCTCAAGAACAGATTTATTGGTGTTTCTGGTTTTTTCTCTGTGTAGATACATACAATCTTCCTCCAGTATTTTTTTTTTTCTCATACACAATCTTTTTTCTTTAGCATCCAGGTTCTGCAAAGAAAACAGCATTTATGTATATATATACCTTCTGTGTATCTATATTGAGATTGAAGGGGTTTGTTTGGTTTGCAAGGGAAGCTTTTATTAAATGGGAAGAAGAAATTTGGCCTAACTGTCTGCTTCCTCTCTGGCACTGTAGGGAGCTCAGGAGGGGAGTCAGTCATCACCAAAGCAGAATCTAACCAGAGTGGGGAGTCCTTGCCACCAGAAACATTCCAGCTGTTGTCTTCACTCTCTTCCCTTCAGCCCAAGATATTTGCACAACTTCAGGTACAGTCAAGTTGTTTACAGAACGCTGTGCTGGAAGTGCTGAGGGTAGGCTGAGAACAGCAAGTTCCCTCTCAGCTAATCCCAAACACTGTCTAGGTAACTCAGGGCTGTGAACTCGGGCATGTGACATGTAACTGTGGTGCAGGGGATCCCACTACCAGCTGCCAACACTTTGAAGTTAGGGTCTCTTGTGAAGGCAAAACCAAGAAGATGAAGGTAGTGGGTTTCTGCTTCAAACCCAGTGCCTATTCATTTTCCATATGGTCCAGTCATTTCATAATGAAAATGCTGCAAAACTGAGGGGAGATAGGTCAGTCTTATTTATTCCATTTAAATCCTCCTCCAGCCTCTTAAGAAAATATATTGAAGTCCTAAAACTGCTCCTAGCTCAGATCTGTAAACTTCCAGATTGAAAGGCTAAAGGGTGGAGATAAGAATGTCATGCTAAAAGAGCTTCTTCTAAAGCTCATTTCCCTTCCAAGCTGGCTCTCTTAGCTTTCTTCCCTAACTGCTTTGAAAAGCTAATTTCATACTTCCTGAGCCCCAATGAAATGCACAATACTTTCCCTAGAAATACAGTCTGCACTAAGATGCTGTTCTACTTGGTGTTTCTCTCTCTTTCTGAAGACAGCCTGGCTCCACCTCACACTGGTTTTTTTAAAGCAGTATGCTTAGCATAGATTACCCATGTCTTGTTGGAATGGGCAGTATTGGGGAATGGTTCGAAACTGAGTATCAATCCAAAATTAGAGCTTTGTGGTCATAAACAGTCTTCTAGATGCTGTTAGGTACCATTATCCCAATTGTTTTCAAATACATTTTGAGCTTAGGGTTGCTGGGATTGACTATTCAAAAGAGATTGTGTGTAGGAAGTTGGAAGCTATACACTTGCAGCACTGCAAAATATGCACCGTTAAATGCAAACTCCTTCTACTATAAATAAAAATATATGTTAGTACTTCTGCCTTCTCTTTCACAGGGATTACAGCTGCAGTCAGCATTTACCTCCACAAATGGATCAACAGCCCTGATAGCTGTAAATAACCATTCCCCTCCCAGCCCTGCAAGTCTCCTGGATTCCCTAGGGAGTGCAATAACCAGCCATTCTCTAACACTTAATCAGGGACATAACCTGCAAGCAGGTGCTGGCCTAACACAGCACGGTGCTGCTGCCTCTGCTTTTGGGACTCCACCTGGCTCTGATCAAAGTCTGGCTGCCATAGGCCAGTTGGTACCAGCTGGAGGCGTAAATGACTCCAGAAGCCTGCAAGGAGTTCATCAGATTCTCTTGGGAGATGTACAGACTATTCCAGTTCAGATTGTGGACAACCAGCCAGCACTTAGTAAGTGGCAATTTTTCTCTGTAAAATGTAAATATAGAAAATAAAGTGGATTTTGTTCTGTGTGGCTTGAAAGGAGAGAAATGTGTTGATAATGGGGAACTCCAGCATAGACTTCTTTCAGCTGATTCTAATTAGTTTTTACTATATTAAACAGAAAGAAACAAACAAAAACCACAAAAAAAGCAGCCCCAAACTTATCTTTTGCTGCAAAAAGACACTTGTCAGTTTCTTTGACCAAATACCAACTTACTTGTTAAACACAATGTTTTTGCCAAAAATCCTAATATTTAGCTATAATTATGATCTTCAAAATATTTTTGGGGAAAAATAAAAATAGGAAATAACCAATACTGAATCTAGTTAGAACTCTTTGGAAAGAAATATGGGGATTTTGATGACTTCTTTGTTTACACCATCCCAGCAGATTTCTGAAAATTTTTAATAATGTTTTACTAAAATTCTGTGGTCATCAATATGCTTTAGAAATGGTCAGATGGAGTTGTACGTAACTGCTTGGAATTTCAAACTACTCTTTGAAAACAGTTTTAAAAAATACGCAATAAACGCTGTAAATAACTTTCTATCAAAATTGAAGGCTCCTTAAAACCACTGCTAACAAATATCAATAGCCTTTGAATTCTCTGCCATGGAACCTGATTGAGAATGGAAGCTTGCATTCTCATGGATTGATTTTTAATTTTGGGTGAAGAAAACCTATTAGATGTGAACCATACACAGATCAGCACAACGTGGTCTTTTGACTACCCGGAGAGTCTGAAACATTAACTGTGCAATGCTTTATTATTTCTATATTATCTTTTCTTGTCATCTGTGACTTTTGGAAAGATGTCTCGAGTAGTTCTGCAGGAGCATCTAGCTAAAGATGTGCTAGATCATAGCTACACCTTCATAATGACGTACTGACAATTATCTCCACACGTACCAATGACCTCTGTGGGGCAGCAAAACTTTATTTCCTTTTTATTTCTTCATGTATTCTTACGTTTTCATTTTCAGAATATTATAGAATTTAATATAAATTAAGGATACATGAGGAAATATACTGAAATTCATATGTGTTAAAGTGATAATGGGTTATTTTACTGTGGCAGTATTGTCAAAGATAAATTTAAGGGATTTTCTGCCTGTTGTACTCAAAGGCTTGTGTAACTGGTTGTTTTCCCTTTTAAAATTGGACTTGTCTCCTGAGAAATTCTTTTTTTTTCAGGGTAAAAGAATTTCAGAGAGGTTATCAAATGTTTAACCCATTTCCTCAGTCTAGATGTTGATGCATCTCAAAAATTTTTGTATGTGACAAGTGTTGTAAGTTAATTTTTAAAAGAAACACTATTTTGCTCATAAAGAAATGTAGTCAAATATAAAATTATATAACTGCAAGAATTAAACTCACTGTTCTTTTGGGCTTTCCTTTTTTCTCTGCTGAAGGTCTCAAACTGTCCTCACCAGCTTGAATCTGGAAGTTGCAAGAATATTGGTGCCTTTCCTAAGTCAGTGGAGGAATTGCCTATGAAATTTTTGGGGTTTTTTTGTTTGGGTTTTTTTTCCCCCAGAGACAAATTCTTTGGTGAGCAGGTCAAAAACGAGTCTAGACTGAAGGAGGAATAATGCTGCAGACCTTTTTTGGAGGAAACACCATAAACTTGAACTTAGCATTTCAGTCAATGTATATTGCAAGATTTTTTTTCTCTCCTCCATGTGTGCACATGGACTTGGTTAAAATTATCCTCTGTGATCTGGATTTTCTCATTTCTAAGTGCTAGCTTAAGAGTAGGCTATTTCCTGCTAAAATGGGTGTGCAGCCATTGAGAAATGGCCAGTTGTGCCGGAAGTGTAAGTCATTCTCTAAATCAACGTGCTTTAGAGTTAGTTTTTTCAGCAATAGCACTTCCATTTCTCTGCAGAAAAGAACCTCACAGCAAACCCCAAAAATTAAGATGGTAGCTTTGTTTTTTTCCATGGGAAAGAGAAAAGACATTTTGTGTGAAAGTGATTTTATATCTCCAAACATTTTTTAATAAGATGTTTTAACTGTTGTTACTCAAGGGGGGGCTTACTGTAGTAAATTCATGTCGACTTGCAATGTCTTAGAGCACAGTAGGTGATGTAACTGGCTGTCAACCTAACAGCAGTTAACTTCATAGATGCCTTACCTATTAGCTTGAGTTCCTGAAATGTTTTTCTTTTAAATGCATACAGTTGTTGGGGCTGAAGCACTGTCAGTGGAGTTTGAACTTCAGTGTTTGATTTTTGTTTTGTTTTTAAGCTGAAGAAAATACGGAGGGTATTACCTGTGTGAGCCAAGTTAAACAAGAGCCAAGAGAAAAAGCGTTGTCTATGGAGCCAGATAAAATCAGAGACTGCCATAGTTCCTCACCATAGTTCTTCACCTACACCTGTGAAGCCTGGAAGGATTTTTCAAATTGGAGAACTCTAATGTCTTGGAAGGAAAGGCAGGTGCTCTCAAAGTCCTGCCATTCTTTTTTAATTGTATTGTGACATTTAGACTAAGCATACTTTAGAGTTGTTCTGACAGAAAGCTGTTTTGATTTGACTGATGTGGCTCACTGCCAATTCCAGGTCATTCAGTTGCCCTGTGGAACACCACCTCTCTCTTCTGTTTCAAGCTTTGAGTAATTTGATTGCTATCCAAATGGCCCATTTTGGTTAATGTTTCTGAAGGTCTTCCACAGTTTAATTCCTTAGCTTTAAAGTGTGGATCACAATGCTGGGTTTGCTTTTTCTCCTTGAGACCCTCGACTGTTGTTGCACTACAGAGACCATAGAATCTGTCAGCTCCAAGATCACAGAATCCAATGGCAAAGTTGATCAGTATGGCAATGGTTTTGTGACAAAATGAAGGTCAGGATGCTAAACTGCAAAGTGATAAAGGACATGGATGCTTAAGAAAATGCAACTTCGACCTGATCATAATGTTAATGGTGTGAAGATCAAGGAGAGGAGAAAGGTGAGGCTGCCAGGTGAATGTAAGGTTGTGTGATGAAGAAAAGAGTGTGAATTGTAACGGTGAATGTTTTCAACTTTGACATCTTTGAACTTGTGTTCTGGCTTTATGATGAGGTTCATTGCTGCATGCAGCCTTCCTTTGCAGTGGCACTGTATTAGCAGTCGGTCGTAACAACTAAATGCAGGAGTCTTGTCTCATGGAGAATGACGGATGCTGCCATTTCAGCTTACCTGTCGTTTGCTTTATGCACTTAAAGCTGCCAGCTCAGATAAATGTGATTTAACCTGCTGCTGTTCATGATGTAGGGCTTGTAATGTAAGCATTCCTAACAAGCCCAAGAAAGCAAAGCGATATAAATCCAAGCAATATGTCCAAATGTGCTGTCACTATAGCATTCAGAAAACAAACTCATCTTTTTGAACAGTGACATCTTCTAAGACTAAAATGGTCCATGTCATTAAAATAATTAGCAGGAATCTTTAGAAATTGAATGTGATAAAAAAATTATCTTTTAGCAATATTTAAGTCAAAGCCATAATAGGTGACAAGCACTGAGTTGTGTAATCTGTGACAGACGTGTTTCTTTATGTTTCTTTGGGCAGACATGTCAATTTAAAGCCCTAAATGAAATTAAACTGATACCAACACAGATATCAAGGTAAACAATTACATTGTTTGCTTCAGATGATGAATTCCGAGAGCAATATTCAGAATACTTCGTATACAGCAATAGGAGCAGTTCTGTTATTAGTTCCTACTTAGTGGTCGAGAGCTTGATCATAAAATTACAAGGTTTTTTTCTGTATGCTGTGGAAGAATGCAGTCTGGGAACTTTTCTGTTTCTATGACTTGAAAACAAACAAACAAAAAAAACCCAGGAAAATGATTAGTTTGTTTATGTAGAGTAGAAAGTATTGCAAATATTATGTGAACCAAAATATTTGCATTTTTAAATTGTTACATTTACTAACTTACATTCAAGCGTTCACAAACATCATCTAAATAGTGGACATTTAAAATTATTTTTTTCATTTTCTTTTGAGCATTTCAAAAATCTTACACTGAACTTGTGTTCCAAATGCCTTTATGGGCAGCATTTGTTAGGTAGGTGCTATATCTTAGTCTTAACATACATTAACTCCTGTGAGGTTAACTAGCATTGTGAATGCTCTTTGTTTAAAGCTAATGTTTAAGGGTTAGCTCCCATTAGAACTTTCCTACAGGATCATGCTCTTATTAAATAAGAGCCAGTATTTTATCATGCAAGTGCATAAAAAAAATCTCTTTTTTTTTTGAGCCTCTCATATTTAGTTTCTACACTGAATTGTTTTGTGGTATATCCTACTTGTTTCTGGCTAAAGACAATTCCACAAGGTGCACCTGCGTTTTTTTTGGACTATTTGTTTGGTTGGGTTTGGTTGGTTTGGTTGCTGTTGTTGTTAATTGTGAACATTTGTCCAAAATGGATGTCCTCTGCTGCAGTCATAGTTCTGGAGCAGTCAGGTAGCAGTCACCTTTTCTTTTCCAACTCAATAACTGCATACCAGAACAGGTACCTCCTTCTGTGTTACTGTATTCAATGATTCCATCACCTTTGGTTTTTCTTAGAGTTTAAACTAGTGCATTCCAGACTATCTTATCTTTCTCATATGTTATATTGCTCATTTTTTTTGAGAATTTTTCCTCATTTTTTAGAATACTTATTCTCAAAAGAATAAACTACAGCCAAAGATTACCAGCAAGATGTTATTTCAGTTTTAGTTCTCTTCAAAGCAAACAATACGTTTATGGTTGGAGTGAAAGCTTAAGGAAAGAGAAGTTACATTTCCATCAGTTCTTACTTAGTTCCCTCATTAACATTTCTGTTCTTTAACAGTCACTGTTCTTTCCACCATAAGCTACAGCCTCATCCTGTGCTGAACAATATTTCTGACAGTACTTCTATTTTTGGCTTAGTGCTCACAGCTGGAGGAAATACTCTTTTAGTCCATCTTGAATTGCAGGCTGCAAAATTAATTCTACCCCGATTTGCATGGCATTCTGAAAACAATAGAAGAAAAAGTTGGAGGAAATTTAAAGAAGCAGTAAGGAATTAGTTGGTTTTAAAAGCTGGGGATTAGACTTGTAATTCTGTTCGTCAAAAAATTTATTTGAAATGCGTCTTCAGCCAATATTCACATTTTTGTTTTCCATTTTCTTCATTTTCACAGAATTTCAATTCTTTGTCTTTCAAATAGATATTTCAGTTTATTACTGTGTTGCTTTTTAATTTAATTTAACCTTTCTTTTTCAAAGAATATGTTTACATTTGTTTTGTGCGTGTTGCTAGTGGAACAACGTGAACTCATCACCCATATCCAGTCTCTATACTCAATACCTTTTTTCACTAATGTCCACCTAAATTTTACAGAGAAGATTGTTATGTATATGAAAAAGATCAGAAGTAAACATTACCACTTTCAGTGCAGTTGAATTTGTTTGAATAGTATACACAAGGCTAATTTTTCAGAGAAAGCTGTGTAGCTTCGTGCAAAGTAGTTGGTTATTACTTTGTGTTGGAATTGTAGATGCTTTTCTGATGTTGACTTTGTTTTCTTGTGGTTATGTTCAAGCATTTGTTTTGCAAACTTAGAGACCCTGAGCTTCAACAGTACTGTAATTGAACAAATTATTCTCCGTTTATTCTCGTTGTTGGTTGCCCATAATAGCGATCGGTTGCTTTACAAGAAGGGCTGTGCTTCTGTATGTGTATGCAAAAATAACTTTTTGATAAAATGTAGAGAAGGCTTAAAAAAAGCACACAACCAGAGCTCTCACTCAAGGCTGGCAGCCTTTTGGATGGAACCAGTAGTGTTAATGAGTCCTTTTTGTTGTATAAAGATTGTTGCAGTTTGTACAAAATTTAGAGACACAGATGTCTGTATATGTATGTGTGTGTATATATATTTTTTTATATAGTAACTTAATGTATAATATTCCTATTCAAATGTAAACTAATTTTTCTTTTAAAGTACAGTCTATGTTGTCATTATGGGGGCTCATGGGGAGAAATGCAAGAGCTATTTAGGGCAGTGAATTTTGGGTATGATGGAGCACAAGTAGGATTAAGGTGTGTGAAAAGCAAGTAGGATGAAGGTGTGTCCTACAGGGAGGGCTGATGGGGCCCCAGTGGTGGGGGTGGGCTCTGGGGTTGAGAACCCATCACAAAGGTTCGGTGCAGCTCCTGAGTCTGTCCACAGTCCTGTCTATGCCAGTAGTGCATAGTCTGAGTTCATGGTAGGAACTTAAAGGTGTGGAAGAAAAGGGAAGCATGTCCTGCCCTCAAAACCAACGAAGCTGCTTGACTTCTGGTGAGTACCAGAGGCAGATAAATGACTTCCCATGGTCTGAGATGCCCATTCTTAGCTTATAATATGAAGAAGAAACTCCTCTTGGAGCTTTAACCTAGGACTGTAGACTCTTTTTCTTTACATGATACCAAGGAAAACAAAGCTTTTCTTCCCAACTGAATTAACTTGCTGCTCTCCTCATCCATCTGACTGCAGCTCTGTCTACCTCAAGCATACTCAGTATCCAGCCAAATGTCTCTTTCTTCACACTTACTAAGGCTTCCACAGAAATCCCATCCATCGGGTCCTCCAATCTCAGTGTTTCGCTGCTGGACTGTTGAAGCAGCTGCTGAGTTCCCTGCACAATTAAATAGTGGTGAGATTTGCCCCTGTCAGTTTTTCTTCCTTTTTTCTCAGAATCCTACGTCCATATGTTCCTTTTAATTCCATTAATTTTTTTCCTTGCTTGCTCTGGGGGTCATCATCATCATTACCTGGATGAATATCAGGGAGCCACATTTCACAGGACATCATTACATTCATAGCAACTGAAAGATTTCATAAAACAAGGAGGGAAAGGATGGTTTCTGCCAGCTGTTAGGGCTGGGCTCTTTCATACCACTTGAATTCCTGATTCTGGCTGTGGATAGTAGCTGCCTGTTAACTTGTCTGTCTGTTGGCAAACTTACAGTTTTCTCCCTTAAGCCTATCCGAGCAGATATGTTCTCAGATGTCTAGGCAGGAAAAATCTGTTCCATTAGGGATAGAAAGAGTGATATAGCTGAGGATGGTGCCGTGAAAAGTTAGTGCTCTTCACGGATCTCTGATGAGAAAATTGTCTTTGATCTGCCCTGCCCTTCTGAACAAAGCTTTCTTAGGAGTAGACTTCAGAGTCTGTGCCATCAGTAACAATTATCTTCTCCCAGCAACAGTGCACCTCATTAATGAATGAAACAAGCATTGTGTAAAGCAGGCTTGATTTTTTAGGTCAGAAGCTATCCAGGTGGTCTATCCAACAGCAGCAACTAAGGTATGATTTGAGGGGAGAAGGAGGGGAAAGCAAAAATCTCACCACCTAACAGGAGTGTATGTGTGTGCATTTGGGTTTTTTCCAATGTAAGCTCTTACGTCTAATATCTCATTCCATTTCTAATGCACATGACAAATGACATGTTTATTTTCTGGAGGGATTTTATGTGTTTTCTGGAAAGATTTCAAAAGAGTGATCATAAATAGTACTGCTGTATCATACAAAGTATCAGTGTGTGTTTGTCATCTAGGACCCCATCCTGTACAGAAGGGGGTTTAAAAGCATGGAAAGCTTTCTGAGTATGAATACTGAGTGTCCTTGTCCTAAGGAGTCTTCCCTGGACAGAAGAATAGGAGCTGTAGGAGTTATTCTCATCAGTAGTCTGTTAGCCTCTGCTAGATAGAAGAACTTTGCAAAAAGCGTGCATATGATAGCCTCTTTATGGAAGTTACTTTTGGATACTTAATAGTTTTGAATTATATATGCATAGAGGATCGTATGTATCTTAAAAAAAATAAAATGCAGACAGAACTATAATTGTTTGCATGTAGTTCTTTAATACAGCTTTAATTACACCTAGCTGTGGTTAAAGGATGCAGATATTTTAGGGCACGTGTAATCAGATGTGGATAATTGGAATTCATGTTTTTACTACAACCATCCTTAGCTCTCTGCAGCGCAGCTCAGTTGGTCATTTGGCATGTACTGGCTTCTGTTAATGACATTCTGCCTGTTTAAACAAGACCATGCTGTTCTAAGCAAATTAAATTTGTCTCTCTTCCTGATCTTTTTTCTAATAGGGATTGATAAGGCTCATCAGAGGATGGAAATCTGTTTGTCGTATAGTGCTTTCATAAGAGTTGATTTCTGGGTCCTCACTGTGAAGGAGCTACAGAGCTATTTGTCTGCCATTTGGACATTTTTCTAATGTACTTGGATTGCTATAGCAGGATAGTGTCACTACAGCATAAATTACCACTAAAATACTGTTAAAATTTTAGCTCTATCGTTTGTTGAAATGTTGATAGTGGCTTCAGGAAGGATCACAGACTTGCTTCTGCATTTTGCAGAACAGTCTTTGTCTCTAGATACTATTTAAAATGTAATTAGCTGTGGCAGTCACATGGCAGCAGGAGAGCCAGGAACAGAGGTGCGTGTTGGCAGATCAGTAGGAGAGAGAGAGAAGTTGGGTTCCAGTGTCCTCATGACAGACTAACACTCTCTGTGCTAGTCCTGAATGCACCCTTCAGAAACAATGATTTGTCTTTATGTGCTGACATAGCTGTTCTTGCCCACTCAAGAAGTTCTACAAGCCTGCAAGGGACATGGAGAGCATGAAGAAGGTGTGTAAGATTTTATGAGAGGACCAGCATGAATGGAACAGAGGAGATTAAAGTTTAATGTCATAACTTCTATTTAACCCACATTCTTTGGTGGGAGGAAGAGGATTGAAGTTTGATGGCATAACTTCTGTTTAACCCACATTCTTTGGTGGGAGGAAGAGGATTTTTCAATAGAAAATAAAAGTAAATCTTCCTTTTCAGAAGTATTAGTATTACTGTGTCTCTGATCTGCTTGACAAGATGCCCAGCATTTGGACAGATCTCAATGTTTATGTTTTTATGAGTATGTACCAAAGTGCTAATGAATACTCATCCATGCATTGCCATCTTTGCAAGTCACAGTGAAATTGTAGGCCAGTGGCACCTCCTAATCTTTTTATTGTTTGTGTACATTTTCTTAAACTAAATGAAAGCTTGTTTAATAAAGAAGCAGTGTAGAGCTTTTGTCTGAAGTCCTTTCAGAGATACGTTTTTTACAGAGTAAGCTTTAAATGAATAATGTTATATACTTCTAGCCCTGAAATAACCTAAAATAACCTAAGCCTTTTTAACCGTTTTTTTTTCTTTTTATCCAGAACATGAAACATTCCAAACTGCACCTCAAAACCGAGCCTGAAAGGTTTGGCACTTTTCTTCCTCTGTAGGTGATCTTCCATCTGTTCTATAATTATCACTCTGTTCAGTGTCTTCAACAAAAAAAGATCAGCAGCTACAGAATGAAACTTGCACAACAGGAGGGGTGGAGTGGGAAACAGGCATGACACCAGAATCCACACTTATGACTTCTCCCATCACGAGGGCACTTTTTTGTTTGTGTAATGTATCTGGTCACTTGGCAGCATGTCAGTTACAATATCTGCAAACTATAGTTGGTTTGTTAACGTCCATGTCACATCAGTTCTAGCTGTGGCAAATTTTCTTTGTGCATGGAATTTGCATTGGTTCAGGGAAACCGATGGGTGTCAAAAATGGTCAGATCTTGTGAACTGAGAGCCTTTGGCTGTGAATTTGATCTTAGTCTGAGCCACGGACAAATTCTGAGGCTATGCCCCTGTGTTCTGCAGTGCTTGTTGAGCAGAAGACAAACCTTCTGGCTCCCAGGAACACCTGCACTTGTCTTTCTGCCTGATGCAAAGCTGCTCATATTAATCTTTTGAAGGCTGGCTCATGGAATTCTGCTTTCCAGCTTAAGGGAAGCTAAAGGTCTCTGTATATGAAAACCTGATGGACAATGTACACAGAGAGTTGAGAGCACCTGTGACAGTCACCCTCAAGCATGCTGTAATTTAGGAATGGGAGCTGATAGGAGGAATAAGCAACTGAAGAATATAATGGTAAAAGTAGGCATTCTTGCTCTTTATATAGTACCGCCCTTGCACAATATGTTTCCTTAAACATCTTGAGAAATACTGGCCAGCAGTGGGAGGAAAACTAATCTCAATTTCTCCCCACCCCCAACTTTGAGTTTAACAGTGCTTTTGGAAATTAATCACAAGTTTG